GATCTCGAAATCTAATCGTCATCTTATTATCCAACTCCCTTTCATTATGGTCGATTGACGTATAACGTCCACGACACTTACAAAACTATAGCAGCAACAGAAAATGACCCATCAACAGCACCAAAAGGATATAGAAGATAAGAGAAAAACTGCAAAGCTGTTTTGATTAGTTAGAGCAGGAGAAAAACTACAATAATGGAAGCAAATATTGCCTATCTTTACTGGTTTCCACGACTTGCCAGATGTATTGGAATGGTCCATGGGCTTACTCCACCGCAACGCCTAACTCTCCGTTCACGGTTTATAACCGCAGGTTATTAAAAATATATCAATATATGGTTTCACGTTATAGGGAGTAATATCAAAGAAAACCTAGAAATGATCCAGCCACAGTGCAGTCATGCGCAGGATACCTTGATAAATCCAAGCGGAATTGTTGATTCTCGACAGAGGAGTTCAATGTCACTCTTGTGCTTTGTTTGGAAAAGGTTCATAATAACGCGTCAGTGCGAAAAATGTTCCTGGTGGGTTGACGAGTCCCGAGAGGTAATTCAAGCTACGGAATTTATTGTATAAAACATCGTAAGCTGGTCCGCTACACGCTGGTAAATCGCCGACTGACGGTGACGTAAGAAGTGCCAATACAGACAAAGCGAGCTTTGAAGCAACCATTGTATTGAGCCGATGTGATATGGAAGTAGCAAATTGGTTGCAATGACTTATCTTATGTAAGCTATATTAGATAGAATACCATGTCCAACCTTCAACAATCGTGGGCTCGTTTATTGAGCAATGGAGTTGGAATGACTTGTATTATGTACGTATTCCATATGATGATACATATGGCCTACCTACACCACGGTAGTTGCCGATAACATATATCAATTGCAGGTTAGCCGTATAAACTCGAAATACACTCGTGCACCTCCTACTCATAGCTCATTTCTGCTTAAGAGGTACGGTCGTATGCATTACCATATCGCATACGTACATAATATGCGTCTTACTGCAACGCATTGCTCAATAAACGAGCCTATTGTTTTTAAAGGTTGGACAAATTTAGTAGTTTAGTCTATTATTCCGCTGCGGTGCTCAGCAGCTACGATTGATCAGTTTGGATTAAACTCAACTAATTAAAGCAATAGTTTTGTTTCCGAGTCTTGTACGTAATTGGGTTTGAATGGATATGGCGATATAGTAGTCATTATTAAACACCGCTAATCATCAATGGCAAATGTTACAAATTAAAGTCATAGCAACCCATTTTTTATGTTACCATTGATAACCCTACCATTAGTGAAGGATAGACATCTTTATGCTTCACATCATAGCGCGTGACTCCCAGAAGAAGATCCATTATTCTATCCTCTCTAATTTCTTGGACGTCCCCGATGACGAGCCAAGGATGTGCACGAAAGAATGTACAGCTGTAGCTGCCGAGAGAAACCTCGTTGCTGACCACAGCCAAGTTCTTTTTAAACGGGCCAGACTGATTCGAAGATTGCTGGCCACAGCCAGGTTCTTTGAACGGGCCAAACTGATTCGAATAACCTGACTGCGGGCAAAAATTCGGGCCGTGTCTGCAGCTACACATTCTGTCGCGCGCATCCTTACTTCAATGGCAATCGCTGGCTCGACGGGCGAGCCATCCAGCATCCGACGTACATCGTCAACTCATTAGGAATAATAGCGTGTTGGCCTTCTATCCTGGCGGTATCTCAGATGATAGCGAAGGAGACGACGAGGAAGGATCTTCTTACCTGCAACGTAAAATTCACCTTTTTGACAAGATCAAATCATTAGTTGCAATTTGAGCAATTTAGCACCTTTTCGCCCAATTCTCCATCGATTTCGAGCACAGTACGGATTTCTTCAGGCGTGTGTTCCAGCACAACACGACGGTTCCGTTCACCCGAAGCAGATAAAGAGATCGGCTCATGACTTGGGATATATCCGTTTCTCACGTCGTACACGAACTCGTAGATGAACGCATACGTGCCGGCAAGCGTCGCAGACGATAGTGCGCGGGCCTTGTCTGAAAGCGCAGGTTGTGCTAAGCTATCAAGCTGAGGGAATATCAATGTCGTGAGGGATGTGCAGAAATCTGCCATTGCTCGTGTAATTGTCTCCCCATCAAGACCTGGTGCATTTGCTGGCGACGTGCCAGAGTCCATCGCTATGGATGCATGGCGTTGCTGAAAATCTTGAATGCATTGTAGAAGCGCGGCCACGTGGCATTGATCCATCACGCACGAGGCTTGCAATTCGCTCAAATCTCGTAGCCAACGCTCCAAATCGTGGCCCATCTTAGTACACCACTTCGTCGCTTCAGGAAATCGTGTCAGAGGTGTATGCAGACAGCTAAAGTTATTGATGCGAAAAATGAGTGCTTCTGCAGGATCCAAACCTGCCACGCTGCGCTGACATGAGCTCCACTGCTGACAAAACTCCATCGAACACAGGTGCTAAGTCAGCTTCCTTTTCTCGCTCGGCTAGCAGCGACGTTTGAAACACTTCGAGCAGTGCTACTAAACGGTGTGAAACATCCAGTGTAACGTGTGTGGCTGCAAGGCTCACGGTATAGTCCTGAGACGAAGCTGCAACAGCATCCACAAGTTGCTGTAACTGGTGACAAAACGCTTCATGTGCGGCCTCACGACAACACTGGAGAGTACGCACAATATCAGCGCGTGCTACAAGCTGATCAAACTTGTGATGGTAAAAGCCAGCAAATGTACCAACTTGTAGGCGGTCACGATGCCGTGGGGAGAGCTAAGCGTTTGCTCCACCCTCACTTGTAGTGGCCGTGATACACCATCAATCGCATGTCCAACCATAGACGTGCAAATCTCTTCGATCACGCCATCGATATGTCCCTGCGGTTTGTCTATCTGTAGCAAACAACCGTCAAGCATGTTTCTCCTACTTGCCTCGCTTGTTTGCAAGAGATCAGTAGCAGCAGAAGGACTGAAGTCCACATCGTCATTAAAGAGCACGCGAAAGAATTCGTTCTCTGTCGCAATGGCCTGGTGGATCCACGCCAGCATATCACCGCAGTACCGCTCTGGGTCGTGTGCGTGCAACTCGATAGGCCGTGGTATTCCATTTGGCCCGCCTACCGTTAACGCCATGATAAAGCGACGTACTATCAACAACCGCCGCGACGATGTCAAACTTTCTTTGCAGTTACTAATCACAACAATGACACTGTCAGTCAACTGCTAGACCAGCATGACCTACTAATAAAAAACGGAGCTCACTTATAAAACTCTTCACGATCATTAAGCAAGGTAATAGCTCGATGCAACATACTGCTTGGATCTTCATCTACTTCTGCGCATTTCTTATTCGTCCACCTGTACAGCCTTTCAAACCCAGCTTCCAGGTGCTTTTCAGCTGTTTTTAGCAGCTCAAATCTGTTATTTCAAATTTAAAAAAAAACTGGCCACAAATTAGTTGGTGCAATTTAGAAAACCTTCTCAATCACGTGATAATCCAAGCTCCCGACCCGCAAGTAACGTCTTTTATCGCTGCTAGCTCTTTGCAGTCCTCTTTAATCTGCTGAACTCGCTCCAGAGTACTAAAAAAAGTCTCCATCTCTTCGTCTACTAAATGCTCGGCATACAACATGTGCACTTCCTCCTCTGTTAATTGATACCGATCTAGAAATGCCTTGGTCTCCTTCCACTGCTCTTGCATCGTGTCCCTACATCCAACATCTGTTAGTTTTTCAAATTTCTAGAATAGGTAACTTTGTCAAGTCAAAAATAGCCCGCTACATTTGAAATAAATCGCGATAATAAAAAACCTCAAATCAAACCTTGTCGTCGCTAAAGCCGCTGCCTCGGTCTGTGCTTGCTGTGTCTCGGTTTTAGTAGTTTCTAAAAATTTGTACACCTGTTCACATTTATAGTCCAACACGTCTACTTGAGTAGTCAAATTTAAAACTTGTTCTAAAATGTGTTCTAAATTGACCAAAGCCTTTTGAGCCAACGCCAATTGTTGCGTTTCTAAATTAGAGCGTAAATTACGCCGCAAAGTTGCTAACGTGGGCATTCCCGAGCTTGCGGACGTTTCTAACTGCACGAGTGAAGTACTAGAGTTCGAAACATCCTTTACTAACGTTTGTAGAATAGTCTTAGTTTCTTCAAGCTCTGCTTGGGATCCCAGAAGCTTGTGCACGCGAGCGTGCAGTGCACCAGGAGCTGACGTCGTCATTGTCGAAACTAATACTGTATAATATGATGGCTTATCATTGAAAGAAGGTATATAAAATTTAGAACGTGACGACGTAATTTATTGAAGCTGGATTAAAATTTACGCAAAATAAGGACACATGTGTTAGCTTACCGTAAAATATTTATCACAATGTTGCTGGTCGTTCTGATTGCAATATTTGAGTGTTGAATGCACAGAAAAAAAGGGGGAAAATATACAACTTAAACCCACCATAGTGAATAAAATACGGCATCGTGTGGACATTAAGTCAACAATACTTTTCTGAACCCAACGACAATCAAACGATGCAATCATTTCAGTGCAGTAGAATCATTATATCACACGTAGTATGTAAGGAACAGATCGTTGGTGATGCTGAGGAAGCGGTTGTAGGACCAATTTTACATCAGCTGCCAACGTCTCTATCTATGTATTCTTCCGTGCATATTAGAATGGCGGCTTGTTGCCTATACGTGGTCTGCATCAAATGCGCTTCATTACGATTTCTGGCGTCGTCGGTGGAGTCGATACCTTTCTGCAGCAGTGGTTTCTGTACGACCAGTACTTTGCACTGTACGTCCTTGAGCCACAATTGTGGAAGATGCAAGATCTACGAGACCAATACGTCAAGGTCAAAGTCGTAGTCGTGTTCGACCTTTGCTTCCATCACCAGACCATCGGCATGGAACAACATGCCGATGGTCTGGTGATGGAAGCGAAGGTAGAAAGGGTCAAGTAGGTCTGGCATTCGTGTATCCCCTTATAACAATCATTGCAGCCGTCACGAGTATCTACACCATCATAATGGATTGCTCAGACGATGTGAGCAACCTGATGGTGACTTGGCAGCTATTTGGAAACGCTAAGATGAATTCTCGGCTTGTTGCAAAATATGGTGTAGCTTACTGAACATGTACCATCAGCTCAGCAGCGCTACTATCACGATTGCGTAGATCGCAACCCTTGACTGACAGGTAGACGTATCTCTTCCAAATTGAATAGGTGCATTTCTTCGGACTGAGTCGATTGAATCGTGTTCAAGGTGCTGAATTTGTGCTTAGTCGTGGCAATTCGTTATGTCTCCGACACAGTGAGTCTATTGTTCCGAAGTTGTTGCTCCTGAGTGTTCTCGTCGCCTACAGCCCGAGTTTTTGTTTGGTCCAAGCAGCAACATTGCCAAATCTCGCGCAACAGCATTAACCTTCCACATTAATAAAGCAAATGATGGTATTAGAATTTGAAATGCGTTTTCTTTGATTGCAGCGGCGTAGGAAGATTTAATTCTGGACTTGACACGAGATAAAGCAAAAGCGTCGCAACGACATGTAGCCACAATTTTGTAGAAACGGTGACAGTGGCGCTCGTAGAGAACATGGAACGATAATCAATGATATTCAAAAGAGTTGAGATGTAGGTCCGACCATCAAACAGGCGAATTAGCACGGATCACACTTACTGCAGACTTTGTCCATGGATCCAGAATGTGAGGTAATACAGGTCCTCACCGTCAGGAACAGTTGTGATCTCGTTAAACACGGACTGACTTCGAAAAACAACCAGGCGGTCCGGCTCTGGGTAAACCTGCCGCGTGGAGTTCTCACGTAGCGCTGTTCGAAGGCTAAGACTTGTTCGCTTGTTCTTCGTATCAACTGCATTAAAAAAGTAGATGCATGTCAACTTAAAACCGTTGTTCTTGTCACCGGCTCCGCAATCCAAGCGAAGGGGCTGATGGTGTCCGGCTGGTAACTGTTGGATGGCAGTACAGCGCGAAAATTGCGCACACAACTTGGCCTTATCCGGCCGCTTCTTGTTGATCTCGAACGGTAGTGCGTGCACCTTCTCAATCAATTCGGCTAGCGCCGGATATTCTGCCGTACAGTCTTGATACTCAACAAAACGAAGTTTCGCTCCCAGCAAACTTGCCTTATCTTTCTGCTGACTCATTATATGCTCACTCGTTGTTGTAGTCCTAAGCAACCCATTTGTGGCCATTCTTGACACGTCGTTCAGTAGCAACTGCGTCCATTCGTCACCCATGAACCCCGTCCAGAATTGCCGTGCCACGCACGCTACTATTGTTATTAGCTAATAGTTCATTGAGAAATTCATCGTCGAGCTGATCCCATGTAGCAAAGTCCGAATTCGGATCAGCTAAAAATCTCACGTCGTTTGCTAATTTGACATGTTTTTGATAATTAACTCGATGCACCATCGCCAACATTTCTCTGCCAAATGCTTCTTGCATTACTTGTGGTATAAGCACACGTTCCGTAATCGTATCCATAAAATCCCCTTGCTCTGCACCTCGTTTTTTTACATTATTTAAAACACTTGCTGCTTTTGCTTTTACTTTGGGCATAATTGCTAGCAACTCGTGTTCATACCATGGATCTTCTAATAAAGTCTGCAAATTTTTTTGGTGCATGAATCAATTGTTCCGTTGGAATTCCTGGATAAATTAACTGCTGGAACTCATTTTCTTGCAACAACTTGGCAAATATGCCATCATCTAACACAACACTTTCTCCTTGACTATTCATTCCTCGTTTATTGCACCCATCAAGCAACTTCTTCAGCATCAATTGCCACGATTGCTGCGTTGTATATTGACTCACATTTTCTTTTTCCGTATAAATGTCCGACGCATTTTTGCCGGATAAAAACCCTTTTGTTACAACACTCTTTTTTCTACGAAAATTTACTCTTGTTATCGCAATTTTTGCTTTCGAAACTACGATTTCCTCATTATTCAGCCGCAAAATTGTTTCAAAAGCATCAATCGCTTCATCCCAAAGTTGCAACGATTCGCATGCAACACCCTTTCGTAAATATCCTTTTGACCAATCAGGTGATATTTCAATTGCCTTCTCGGCATCTTGAAGAGCTGCATGGAAATCCTTGAGTTGATACAGAGCGGCGGATCGATTCCCATATAGTAAATGATTTGTGTTGTGGCATGCAATAGCTTGAGAATAAAGGTTTTTTGCTTCAAGAAAATGCCGACGATTGAACGCTTCATTGCCTTTTTGCCGCAATGTTTCCGCTTGAGCTGTTGCAACATTGTTGGTGTCAAAAGATCCATCGGCAGTAGCTTCCATGGCAAGATCCGTCGTCCTACTTGTTTGGAGCAATTTTAAAATAAAGACATAGGATTGGATGAAATAAAATGTAGCCAATATGAAAACAATAAATTTTTGAAGCAAAAGAGACTGGCATGACGTGAATGTTTGCATATCTAACGCAATAATTCCTCCAATTACAAGTTTTTCAACGTCCACAACAATTTCATGTTGATGGACAATTATTTGGACTGATACTATTTTGTCACGAATATAAATTAGTCCAAAGCATAAACTGCTCGGCAAGCTCGATCGTTACATAGAATCGTCTATCGTAGTTTGCATGAGATCCCCGATTAAATAAATGGACCACTGACATAAAGATGAGCCATATTGAAGCACGTGAGAGATACATGAACTGGATATGGTACGATGTATCACTTATCTGCTTCAACTTCAAGTGTACCTGTGCGTATCTTTTGATGAGGCAGTTACTGCAGAGATACTGCGGTACGATGGAGCCAATACCTGCGACTGATGCAGCACTATGAATGAATACACACGAGCTAGATGCTTGAAGCAAATTATTGCAAAAGTATGGCGCTTTCTGGTGATGGTTCCGCAAACTGCTGGCATGCTTCTAGCTGAATGGTTTTTGTTCAAGTGGGAAAGATAATGTTGCAGATGGCATGGAGCTTGATCTGAAGATGGTGACCAACGTACGTAGTAGCAATAAGGTTAGCAGCTGAATCAGCAGTTTTAAAAGGTGGTCGATGGACAACTACATAAGCTGAAGATAAATCGAGGATAAAGACCTGTCAACCAAGGTGTCAAGGCGAGGCGGAAGATGCAAAGTTTATCAATTAGATCAGAACGTGAAAAATTTGCGGTAGCTTATAGCTTTGTGTCGACAGGTCTGGTACGGATACTGGACTGTTGGCTACACATAAGGGAAGCTGACTCTTTCAACATGAGGGTGACAAAAAGGACGTCAGTAACTGTTACGGCACAGGTTTTGCTTGTATGAATTGGTGCCAGCAGATGCAAGGTCCTTGTAACAAGCAATGTGTAGCGAGAATGCCAATAGTAGCTCTTTTGTCAGGAACTGACAGCTTTTAATCAAGTGGTGGTCAACAACACAGACGAGAACATTAAACCCCCAAATGACCGTCGCCAACGGTATTTGTATCTTACATGTCATTTTAACATGTAAGATGACGTTCTCAACCGTTATTGACTTATAACATGCAGCATACAGTCTACGGCACGACCATAGATTGAAAGACAAGGTAAAGTGCGCACCTCATGACGTGCGTCGCAGAGCAGGTTTTCGCTCTTTTTGTTTTTATGTTATCAAAACTGACCAAGAAGAAGCCTTGAAACCAAGACTTATGCCCGACTGCAATTGCGGCATCTTTTACTGCCATGTGCACTGCACTGCAACGATCAGAAATGTTCCCGTCAGAAGGGAGCAGCTACTCAGCAAATGTCGTCAATAAATTACGTTATTATATTAGTAAAAGAGGTCATCGCCACACTACCTACCTAAATCAGCTTGACCTAGCTATATCTCCCTGCTGCATCTCCAGGGGCGTTCCAAGGCTCCAAGTGCATCTGTTTCTCTCTTTTCTGTTGTGTACACGATTGTGTTGACCTTCACATCAGTGAGTGCGTAGAATCTGATAAAGAGCAAGGCAGTGCACTGCTTGACCTCTCTCTCTCTTTGTGCCACAATAGGTAAAAGACGTTCGGTCCAACCACTCACCTCTCGTTACATGTGCTCGCGATGACACTCCATGCAGAGAAATAGCGAGTCAGATTTCTTCCCAAACTCACAAGGAAAGCTAATACGTCCACTCTGCAGCCATCTCTTGGTCAAAAACTGCTTAAACTGCTCCAACACGTCGCGGAAAAACTGCACCAAGTTGGCGCAAATATTACTCGATCCAGCCACAACAGCTTGTTCACAGGCAGCAACCTGCCACGTCTGGAGAAAAACTACGAGCTCACCAACAGACGCGTCACGAATGTCTTCATCGCTGATAAAGTCCGTCACGTTCTGAACAAAGGCGGTCACAAGTGGCCACGATAGACCCAGTCTGATCTTTACTATAGTTTGCATTTGACCCACAGCAAAGGGAATCGACTGCAACGTTTGTCGTAGTTGCGCAAAGCTCCAGCTTACTGCACAGTTACAATAATGCGCCACGTCACGAAGGTAGTCGAGTACTACTGCAACCATCCGAGCAGCGGAAACATCGTCTTGTACTTCAGGGACTTGAGCAGAGATAACAACGGTCGTTTTTTGATTGAAGTTACTTATGGTTCTTGGAAATACAAATGTAGGAGAACAAGGCGAATCCTCTGGCTCAAATTCTTCTGATAGTGGAACAGGAGCTCTTGTTAACAGAACGGGTTTATTGTCAAGAGAAGAAAACACCTTTTTTTTCGTAGCTAGAAGGGTTTTATCCCCATTATCCATCGAACACTTTGAAAATGTACGTTTTAGACTTTGCATGGTAAATGAATGAAGTTCTGACCAAGAATGATTGTCAAGTGTTACTTGTTGAGTACGTTGGCAAGTGACTCTAATTTTATGTCTCTCCTGGCTGCTGAAATGTGATGGGCAGCGTTTCTTTCAAAGATTTGATATGTGGACCACATGATAGCAATGCGTCATCAGCGTAGTCAGCTGTTATTGGTTGCGTGTATTCCGTTTTATGCATCAAAACTGCCACGATTCTCCGCAGGTTGTCGTCAACAGCCGAGAAAAACATATTTTCGCGTCCTGAACAGCGGGCACAATTCAATCATCCCCTTCCTACGTTAGTCTTACCTTGACACTGTCATTAGCGCCAGATCTACTCGCTCAGCTTCAGTTTGCCGCCCCTTCCCAGATTCAGTCAGCACTGGCATGTAAATCCCTCTGGTACGTCCGAAGTGGGACAACTTATTCCATCGATTTTTTTGGCCTTGTCATTCCCAGCCAGTGATGTCGAAAACCAAATACACTGTTACCGACAGCAATCATGTGTACGGAGGGCGCCATCAGTGCTGTACATAAAGCACCTCCTAATTCTGACAAAAAGGCGTTGACGATGCTGCAACCGATTGGTTCGCTTGCTTGTGATATGAAGAAAGTCCAGTCGGGCGCGGAAGTGTTGCTGCAAAATGAGCGAATATATATAAGTTGAAGTTTAGCAAAAGTTCAAGTGTACAAAACCGTGGCGCTCGATCTTTATTGTGAGGGTAATATAAGCTCCTGTAGGTTCAGTTTCGTTCATAATCATACAAAGTAAGCTTGTCAGCACAAGAGCGAAAAGCTGATCGGTGCCTTTAGTACCGTGCTTGCAGTGGTTTTGTATTGGTAATCTGGGAAATGCCTTCCCGGCTAAAAATGCAAAGCTGATTCGATTTTCTTTGCTGTTTTAAAGAAGCAGTAGTCCTTGTCTTTGCAATCAACTTGAAAAAAAAACGAGCTCATCGTCGGGAACTTTTCAGTCTCTAAATGCCGAGAATCTTACCTAAGAGTCCGAGCCGAGATGTGAGTAAACTTGATTGCTTCTTCTTTATTGAAACACACGAAACGGAATGTTGATTTTTCCAGTTCTGTTAGCCATAGTAATGTCCATATACTTTAGGTGTATTAAGGATAAAGGATTCATAACAACTTGGGCTGCTTCTTTTGTCAAGAATCAAAAAATAGTCACGCAGTACAGTCTCCGCAATGCAACAGTCTCTCTACCTTACACCAGTGGGAGTTTAAAACTCAGTCACTAAACTGATATTCGAAATTATTGACTTAAGCTCATCATAGCCACTCGAATTCAATCTATAATGGTGTGACCAATGGCCTGATACGGACCCTTGGGTGACGCAGGCTCATCGCAACGATCGATACCGTCTCATCTCCAGTATCAACAACATCGTAGACTATGACACACAATCGTCGACATGAATGGAAATTTGATTAGTCTTCAGCCTGAAAGGCATTGACACTATACGTCAAATTGGCTACATCGAGCAGTAGGAAGGATCCACTGACGATTGATTGAACATGTACGACAAACACCTGCGATGTGATCGGCCTCAAACAGTAATAGAAGACTTTTCTACAAGCAGCGGTAGCCATGTTTAACAATGCTACGGCTTTTGTCGAGCTGCTGCTACTGACGATTGACGACATGGTAGCATGCTTCAGTAAATATAATGATCTAGTCCCAGTTTCCAGGACCATTAGTACGAAAACGAGCACTTACTCACTCAAGAAGTTGCTGTTTTAGTATAGCTACTATGATTCCTCTAAGTATTAATCGGTTTCGAATATTTTGCGTGCGCCAACCATCAACACTGTTCGCCACTTTACAACCATTTCTTGTAAAATTTGAAAACTATCATCGTTGCAAGGGCAATAAAGAGTACGACTGCCCACCAGATGTAGTAGCCATTGTGGTATTCAAGCTCTGGCATGTTTGTAAAATTCATGCCGTAGAGTCCGGTCAGAAATTGTGCTGGCAAGAAGATTGCTGCGACCAATGCTAAGATGTAGCTTACGTCGTTCTGTTGCACAGCTCGTGCATTGTGGAAATCTTCAATAAGGCTGCGACAACGGTCTAAATGCCGCTCGCAGTCCTCCTCGATCGTAGTGATGTGATCCATCACATCACGGAAATACCGCATTGTTTCGCCCTCAAACTCCTCGGGTTCCATAAGCTGTATGATCACTTCACTCATCGGTTTACAAAGTACATGAAGTCCCTTGATCTGCTTCGTACAACGAGCCAGACGACTAACATCAAAGTAGCGTGGGTCAATGCGGAGCAGCCGCTCGAGCATGATCAATTTTGACCCGAACGTGTGCGTAATGGGCGTCAATTCATCCACGCAAACGTCCACAATAGTATAGACAAGGAAAGCTGTACTATGCTGGCGCACCTTTGAGTAAGACCTATCGAGTCTATGCTTTAGCATCGCCCAGAGCGTATTTGAACTCTCCCTGGACACTAATCAAGACATCCTCCATGATATACAAACTGAGCTGCTCGGGCGCCGTCATCACACAGCCCACATCAAGCTGTTCCAGTCGTTCTTCCAATTCCTTTTTCGTCATGCGCTCAAATAGGGACACGTCGTCGTTGTGAACATATAATGAGGCACGATACATGCTCTGGTAGTTCCTCACCATGTACAAGTCACGCGCGTGGATGGTTTGTAGAATCAAAAACGAATGTTCGTCATACTCCTCGTACTTTGGACGCTCAACATCGGCATCAAGCGTATCTTCAACAGCCAGTGGATGAAGTCGATAGCGTACCGACAACCGTCGCATTAGAAGAGGAGCAATGCCTTCAAGATTGATCCATCTCACCGACGCCCAACTAGGCTTTGTTGAGTATATAAATCTCTGAACTTGTTTGATCGGGTACACGCTGCGAATGCGGTCCGGTGAGTATTCGATCGATCCAAGTAGTGCGTTACATGCTCTTCCGCGTCTCACGTGTGTGTACTCTGGCGGCATGTTTCGCAAAAACTCTTCATTGAAGAGCTGAGCGAGCTTGATTTCCTGGATAGCAAACAAAAACTCCCGATACGTAACTCCACCACTCTTGTCATCGTCCACCTGGTCGATAAATGCTTGAAATTGTTTGTCGTCACCACAGGCAATGCCCATCGCCTCCAAACCACAACGGAACCCTTCGTATGACACCATCCCATTTTCTAAAAAAACAACACATTGTAAGAAAGAAGCTCAATCTGAAGCTATAAACGATCCATTTTTTTACCTCCAGGGTTAAACAGTGAGAACAATTTCATCATCCTTGCAGACGTGAGATCGAAATGTGGGTCCATTAACGACATGTCTTCGGCTTCATCGACCACCCCGAGACTATCCGACCAATCAAGTGAATTTGAATCCCTGGCAATTGGTTCAATCGATCCAACTGACATAATCTGTAGAATATTTTTTCCATGCAGCAATGTTGGCATTGACATTGTCTCTTTACTTGTATTCAAGGAAGTTTCATTGGTCTCGTTCTCAAAATCTCGGATCCACTCCTTCGAATTTCGGGAAACCATCAAATTTTGGGTATCTCTCGACAAATTGTCAAATCCAGTGCGAAGATTGACGCTGTCACGTATAGTTGAGCGATACCGAGTTCCATCAAAACGTACACCATCGTTTGGTGCCCAGTCCTTAGGCTGGTAGGTGGTCGACACTTTCGACGGAGATCGACGCCATGACTGACAAGCACGAGCCATCTTTCTCTTTGGAAGATGAGGCGATTGGGAACTTGATGATGATGAAAGAAAAGATTTATCATCCATCGTCACGTTAAATTGGAGAAAGTCACCCGAGGGTTCAGAATCCATCCAACTAGGAGAAAAACAGCAATGAGAACGATTGAAGGGTTAACACTCTAAGACTAAATACTGAATTGAAGATATTTGCTCAAGTTATAGCAAACACTTGCCCTCGATCGACTTCTAGATATTTGTACTTGAAGTGATGTGAGCTTGTTGTTACCTTACGTGCTTTAATCTGTTACTGTTGGATTTGGTAAGTACATCGCTGTCATACTTTATTTCGAGCTGTATGCATGGTAGTAAGGGATTGCACGCACCGAAAAGTCACTACCAAGCAATAAAGTGTCTGCCTTCTCATAGTACTGATTACGAGCATTTCTTCGGAATCCGTCCACAACAAAGTGCCGATATCTATCGTTATTGGTCCTACTACTTTGGCTCGAGATTTATCGAAGTTGTCACTTTTGCGTCCATTACTTGAATAGTAATACTCTTTAACTTGATTGCAATCAATCACTAAAACTTTTCGGGAATGCAAATACGCGAGAGCGCGGTCCACATGGAAGGCGATCGTAGGTTTTCTAATCAAGCCCTTCGTATAGTTTTGCGCTTTGTATTGGCTCAGCAATGTCCTCATGTTGCTGTGTCCATAACTATAAGTAAAACGTCGCACGATGCACACGCAATTGTAGGCGACCTGATGCCGAAGAAAACCTGGAAATGTAGGGTTGATTTACAAGCTGACGTACTTTGACATCTGTCGAGAGCAAGTTGACAGAGCAGTGCTGGCGGATGTAAACAATATGCTTTGGATAGCCTCAAAGTGACGCTTGGAAATGCGTACAATGTAGAGATGCACATGTTTACGTTGGAGCAATTCTATCGAAGCTTTCAGTTCATGCGCTAACTTATTCACATGTCAGCGCCCGGATCCACGAGCAACTGTCATCACTGGTCATTCTCTACCGATATAGTTACTGGCGTGATGTGCATCGAATTCCAGAAGCCGGACCTCAATTGTGGTAAGGAGAGGAGGATTCGCGCAAGCCTAATTCCAAAAATCTCATACAAGCAGGTCGCAAACCGGGTTCAGCCACATCACGCCAAAACGTCAATTGTGACGACGTCGTACCATATTTGTAATGTGCAACTCAATAACGTCAACCGAAAGACACTTAATGGCACCAAACATGAAAAGTACCAGTCATGTTCGCTAAATGATAAATCTCTTCCTCGTGCCCATTGCACAAACGATGATCGCTGTTCCTCTATAGCTGTGAAAGGTAGGATCGATCATTTTTATCGTCCACGAGCAGCCATACGACTACTTGAACGTCTGTCTACATAAAAAAATTAGGTATCGTTGACATATACATCAGATACTCATATATCTAGGTGTCGGTACACTTTATCTATTTGCTTAATCACATACGGGTATTGTCCTTAAAATCATAAATGCTATAAAGGCAGATGATTCATCTGCAACTAAGTCGGTCATTTTACAGAGATTGCCCCAACCAGATCAGGAAAGGTGATACTGATACAATATTTGCCGTAAGTGATCAATCAGCCGGTTTGTCGGTTGACAGTGGTACGACGGCAAACGTATCGCCTTATCGCGATGAGTTCATCGGAGACGAAACATATGCAAGCGACATTACAGTGACCGTTGCAAATGGTAAGTAACTTCGTGTTGCTGGAAAGTGTAAGATCCACCTCATGGACAATGAGGCCTACAAAACGGATCCGGGTGACTGAGGCTCTGCAAATTCCAGGTTTGGATCGAAGATTGCTATTCGTTGTCAAGTTAGGCGAGTGTTAATTGTCAAGACTCATAGGCCGTCTAACAAATCAATGGCGGTTGCTGCCGAACAGAATATTGGCAAAAATTACGTGCTCGAATGTCACCAAGTCATGGCACATATGTCATGTACACGCAAGTTAAAGACGCGTGGAAGATATGGCATGCCTGAATGGGCCATAAAAGTAAAGTGGTGCAGTTGGAATCCCAACATGGAACGTAGAAAATGCCGATGATCAAGAAAAAGAAGATCAAGAATTTATGCGGTGGATGCATGAAAGGCAAACTAATGGTGAAAGGTTCTCGTCTCAATCCCAGACAAAAAACATCAAATGTATTGGAGCTCATATACACAGACGTGATGGGTCCTATGAATACGAAGTCGGAAGGTCACGTAACGTATGTCTTTAGCTTTGTAGACGACTACTCTCGCTATGTGGTGGCATATTTTCTTAAGACCACGAGCAAATTGTTGATAAAGTTCAAGAAGTTCAAAGACATTGTACGAAACACAGTGGAATCCCCGCGTCAAATGCTTGCGCTCGGACAACTGTTTGTGTTTGTGAACAAGGCGATGGACAAGTTTTGCACGCGCAATGGGATCGTCGATCAGAAATCAGTACCGTACAGCCCGCAGCATAACGGTGTGTCAGTACGGACAACCTGACAATAATGAAGAAGAACGCAGGGTCGATGTTGCACTTCAAAGGTGTTTCGATGGACTGGTGTGAAGGGGTTACTACGGCAGTGTACATGATGAACCAATCAACTGGAAGGGTACACTCAGTATACACCTTTTGATGTGGGATTTCGGTTGAAGCCATGTATGAATCACCTGCGTGATTTTGGATCAATTGGTTATGTACTCGTACCAAGGTTTCAATTAGAAGGGTTCAAGTGTTTGTTCTTTGGGTACCAAAGGATACAGGATGTACGACTTGGACGCACACAAGCTTAAGGTCGTACGATCGATCAAGCTGGACGCAGTCCCTGGAGGTCGGCCGTGATCCTTCGTCAGTAGACCTCTCTCCCTTGCGGTAAGCCTTAGGCCTTTGTCGGTCAACCCTCTGTCTCAAGGTCAAGCAATCTTAGCCAATTACAATAAAAAACTAGGTTTCAAGGCAAGGATAGTAAAGGATTCAATAGATAGGACTATATTAAATACTACTTTATTTGCGATCTACGTGGCGTGACTTTATCACGCTTATAAGGAACTCGCTAAGTCCACCCACCTGTTCCGAGAAGGGTCAATTTTGCCCCCCCCCTTGTCGAAGAAAGTCGTGTGGTAAGACCAAAGTACAAAGAAAGCCCTCGGATATATTTGGCCTCTGATTAGCACAAACTTAATGAACTCAAAGTACAGCCACACCGAAATGTTGCGTCAGGTATGTATGTAATGCAAACCCTTGTGTAACCCCGTTACACTCTCCCCACCAATCCATGGGACCCGGCATACCCACAATTCTTCGAACTTACAATAAAAATTCTGCAGACTCTTATCGACTTTTCTTCTCAAGCAACAGTGTTATCAACACTTTGCTGAGAGTATAAGTATATAGCCTGGCTCATATAGCACTGAATTGTATCCATACACATGCTCACTAAGCTCCTAAGTACTTGCTCTTTGAGTCTCTAAGTGCCCAGGCTTTCGCTCATTGAGCCAAAAGTTTTCTAAATTCTTGCTCCTTGAGCTCTCACAGCTTTTTGCCTTGCACCCACTAACAATACAAGGGTTATAAGCTTTAATCCCTGCTTACAAAACAGTTGCGCCACCTTATCATGTTATAGACGACGCGACTTGATCTCTTCGAAAATGATGACAGTGAAGTTGACTTTAGAGTCAGCAACACCAGGTCGCCTTCGGATCGTGACACTCAAAGCTCACCAAGCGAGAAACGGCAGTATCTGCCTGTTCAAACTGCACGAGTAGGTAAACTCCTAGCGTTTAATATAACAAAAGCGCCCAATTTAAATTAGTATACGCTTTTTTGCCTTTATAAGGATGTTACACAAGGATGTATATTACACATACTCATGTGACCACCGTTTTGGTGTGGCTGTACTCCGAGTACATTAAAATTCAACCTCTTTGATGTTACCTTACCTAAGTTACATCGTAAATTGGTTTCACATCGTTGCAGGAAGCGACGTGGTAGATACATATAAACATGTATAGTAGGAAGGCTACAGAGGTAGTTAAGTATAGTGACTAGCGCTAAGTATAACAATAAGTTTTCTATATTGGGCTAGAAGATAAACTTATATATAAATACGTAAGGACCTAATCGGTATATCCTTTGTTGCAAGCGTATTCTTTAAAAAAAAAGAGTTTTGGTCTCATTGGGACGTAGGTTGTTTACAGCCAAAAGGCACAAGCTTATAAAGCTAGCCTTAAAAGAGTTCAGAACCCCAACACGTAATGATCGTAGAGCTTGCCTTATCTGCATTTAGTGCATAAGTAGCTTGTCTACGGTATCTCTGCTACACCTGGTAGCGCTTCGGGTCAATCCCGCACCTGAACTTGTGACTGCTTCTCTGTGAAAATCGACATCGCAGAGATGTCCGCGGTTAGACTCAACAAGACGGTTGCAAAACCTGCTTCCTATTTTTGGCCCTTAGGGCGTGGCATACCGCATCGCCCAAGGCGAAAAAGAGTTAAAAAGCGTACTCATATGCTTGAAAAGAATAATAACGCTCTAAGCGAGAATGTAAAGGCACATATGCCTTCTTCTGCGCCTTCGCCCATGGCGACTATGGCGCAAGAACCTCTGGTTTTCCACGAAAAAACGTTGGAACCCAGTAGGCGAGGGACCCTACTGATGAAGAACTGAGTTATGTTTATTTTTAGGAGGTAGAAGCAAACATGGCTCAGATCCAAGAAACCTGAACTATCTGAATCGGAACGAGAATACAAGTCAGGCGTGCTAATCGTTGAAGGGACGAGCAAGGGCTTTAATAATCCATGGATCATTTGATCGATCCGGGAGCACCGGCAATTATGATCGACTTGCCACCGTGGAAGAGGGTCAGCAGTATGCTGAAATGCTTAAAGCGCGTGAAAGTGCCAAGGTCACGGTTTGTCTAGCGTTTTACGGTACCAAAGTCCCAATGGATAAATGTAAAGTTCTTAGTTTTTAAGACATGAGAGCTGTTTGGTCTTGGAGGTATGACCTCATTCTAGACATGGCATGGCTAGAACACCATGAGCCATGGATTGATTGGAGGTCGAAGACCTTAGGCGCAAAGCGCATTGCCCTGATGGGGCTCTGGAGAGTCGTGAACCAACCTTTGCTAGGAAGCAAAAAGCGCTTTTTTGGCGCAAATATTAGACCGAGTCGGTCAATATGCTGGAATTCGGGTCATCCGACTTTGTAGACACTGTAACTGTCAAGAAATAGTCCAGGGTGAGGCCAAAGGGCTGATAGTTTGTGGTTGAGAACCCACTAGATGACACATGTGACATGTATCATGAGAATGACGTTCATATCACTAAAAGCCATTTGGTGTGAGTGGCTGCGAGCCAAGACGAGTGACATAGATTACATAATACTAACTTAAGAGGGTCAAATGAAGTCACAAATAGATTTTGTCTTTGTAGACAACGAGGTGCAAGCACCTAACGACGAGGTACTGGCCCAAGAGGGTCTGGTGAGGTCAACGATAACAGTTATTTGCAACAATAACGAGGAACAATCACCTAGTGACGAGGTAATTATCCAAGAGGTTGAAGTGAAGTCAGTAAACGAAGTGGCATTCGACCGTTAGGTGTTTACACCTGTGGACGCTGATGCGCCGGATGCTGATAGCATCATGAGTAGCGATGATGATATCGTGAGTGGCGGTGATAGCAAACAGCTATATACCCTCGTCAATGGTTTGACTGGGGATGTTGAAAAGCCGGTGGCTTTTTCAGCAATACCCGCAGTAAGTGCTCTATTAAAGCTGGAAAAGTTGTTCTTTGCCGAGTTTGGCATTGCCTTAAAGGCAGGCGACATCGCCGAAGTGGTCGTTATACGACCTGAGGAGGAGTGAAACTTCTCATCGCTTTTGGATACAGCAGTTTTTGAAGATCCCAAGAAGGCGCTGAATGTGCGCAGTGGATCACAGATTCTGAAGAATCATCGGATCCTTATTTTTCTTTTTTTGAAGGAATATGGAGATATTGTCTCCAGAGAACATCCGACGAGGTTACCTTCGGATAGAGGTGTACGTCATGAAATTGACTTGGTTCCAGGAACCAAATACTGTGTGACACGACAGTGGCCGCTGCCACGAGAACAATGTGACGTCATTGACGAGTTCTTTTGTGCAAAGCACGCGGATGGCATGGTGCGTCAGAGTAAGTCTCTTCACTCTACGCCCACTTTTTGTGTGAAAAAGCCTAACGATAAGTGACGAATAGTGCATGCTTACAATAAGCTGAATGAAGCCACTATCCCAGCTCAAACACCTATTCCTCGCAAGGATGTTCTTCAGAACAATATGGTGGGATGTACAATGTACAATGCCCTCGACTTAGTCGATGGATAAAACCAACTGCTCATGCGAGCTAGTGGTATCCCGCTGACAGTGGTCAGCACTCCGAGCGGTATGCTCTGGGAGTGGTTAGTGATGGCCCAAGCGCTGTATAACGCACCTGCAACGTTCAATCGTCTGGTGACGCAGTTGTTTCGGCCTCATAGAGCGTATGCACCGACATGCTTGACGATATATTCGTCCATAGTCGAGCCGAAAATGGAAATAATGATGTGGAGAATCACATCGAACACCTGCGAGCTGTGCTCGATTGCATGAGAGAGCATAAGTTATATGCCAATATTGACAATTGCATCTTCGGTGCAGAAGAGATTCCCTTTTTGGGATGCTTCATTGGGAAGCGAGGAATCCAGGCAGACCCTGATAAGGTCAAAGCCATAGTGGATTGGCCGGTTCTGAGAAATCAGAAGGACCTCCGTAAGTGGTTGGGTTTGGCAAATTACTTGCACAAGTATAGCCACAACTATGCGGAAGTGGCTAGTCCATTGTCCAATCTCCTTAAAAAGGATGTGGAATGATGTTGGAATTCCGAGCACCACGAGACTTCTGAAGCCATAAAGGAGAGTCTCCTTCAGGCGCCGATTCTGGCTCTTCCTGATCCTGATAGTCCTTTTAGCGTCGTATGTGACGCTTAGGGCTTTGCCATTGGCAGTGCGCTTTTGCAAGTCGACTCTGAGGGTCGAGAACACGTCATTGCGTTTGAGCCTCGCCAGCTGAAAGCTGCAGAGAAGAAGTATCCAGTTCATGAAAAAGATCTGCTTGCAATGAAGTATGCCCTTGTTAAGTTCAGGGTACACTTGTTGGGCTTAAAGTTGCTTGTGATCTATACCGATCATGCGTCGTTACGCACAGCGACACAGCCGCCTCATCTTTTGCAGAGAATGGCTCGTTGGCTCTCCTTTTTCGCGGAGTATAGCTTCGAGGTGAAGTAAAAGCCGGGAAAACAGAATGTTTTGGCTGACGCGTTATCGCGTAGGCCTGACTATGAGCTTGTTCATCTCACTGTTGTGAGTTCGTCAGTAATGGAACGTATCCGTGTGGCTTATGCACGCAATGACGCATGTGTTGCCATAATGCAGGCACTAGGTAGCGCAGAGCTATAAAGCTTTAAGGTGAATTTTTCACCACGTAATCGTGCGAGATTACAGCGTTATGCACTGACCGATGTCTGTTGTACTATAGTACAGGGTCGGATGACCAGCCTCGTGTTGTGGTACCTCATGGTGAGTACCTCAAGATTCAGATGCTTTATGAGGTTCATGATACACCACTTGGCGGTCATTTATGTCGTGAAAAGACCAACAGATCGGTGAGCACCCATTATTATCAAGCTCAAGTTGTACAAATGGGCTGGTATATATGTACGAACGTGCAAAGCGTGACAGAGGGTAAAATCCTTGCCTAGTATAGATGCGCCTTTGGAGAGTTTGCTTGTACCCTCGGAGCTGTGGCAGTCCATTAGTATGGACTTTGTTTTTTGCCTGCCGCGCGATGGGGCAGGCAACACTGGGATTGTGGTCTTTGTTGTCTGGCTGAACAAGATGGCTCATTTAGCGGTAGTGCTGGACTCCATCGCTAAGCTGGTCATGGATCGTGTGTCTTGACAACACGGATTGACTGTGGCAAACGTCTTTAATAGAGACCCCGGTCAAAGGGAGGGTAAGTTTTGGCCGTCAGTCTTCAAAGTGATGGGCACTAGACTGGACATATCCACGGCGGATCATCCACAGACCGATGAGAAAACTGAACGCGTTTATCGTGTTATAGGTGATATGCTTCGCAGCGTTTGTGCTGACACACCAAAACAATGAAGCACGATGTTCCCACTTATTGAGTTTGCTTAAATAACGCAGTGCATGCCCCTACACCATTCTACGCAAACGGTCTAGTTGATTCTCGCGTTCCATTAACGCTACCCCATGCCACATCAGGGCCTAGTGGGGAAATAGATAGCCGAAAGACAGGCTAATATCGGCCCTGTTGCGATTCGCAAGAAGGTGGAATCGTTTCTTTCAACGCGTTCTGACGAATCACGTCGCATCTGTGACGATGTTGCTGGAAGCCAAGATGTTCAGAAAACCAATCAGATGCCTAATGAAAAAAGAACGAACACGAGTTAAAGTGGGCGATATGGTTATGTTATGTACGTGAACGTATTTCACGACCCGTGTTGCCACAAAGTGGCTCAACTTCCGCATGCGTCGGGTTATCTCTCATTCTTTACGTTTTTTCCTTGTCTTGGCCAGAGTCTATTAAGCGGCGCGTGCTCTACAGCCCTACAGGCTGCGCGGTCCTGAGCACATAGGCAAAAAAGTACCGGTTGGAGCACGTTGAAGGCGGTGTCCTGCGGGAAGTGTTTAAAGGTAGGTATCTAGGACCATCGGTAGCATTACTCGGCGTCTGTCTCACCATTCGACGGTCTCACTGGGGTCGAAGAAACTTTCCATGAAGCGGTGGGCTGGGATGCCTGCTAGTCTGCGAAGGATGTGGCCAAGAAGGGTCCATCGGCTGCGAAGCAAGTGAAATCGGAGTGGCTCAGTCTGGGTACGGTCGTAGAGCTTGGCATTGGAGATCGTGTCTGGATAACGGACGCCAATCACTTTGCGGAGCTGTTGAAGATGGAAACTTTTGAGGCTGTGTAGCACGGAATCGGTAAGGGCGTAAGTCCCGCAATTGTATAGCAGGATAGGCAAGACGTAGCAGTTGTAGAGGCGAAGGCGCGTAGCTTCTGAGGTCTTCGATGGCCGAAGCCAAACTTTTCACATGCGATGGAGCGCGGCGGACGCGAAGTTCTTACGAGGGGAGACGTCTTCTGCGTCGCCGAGGAGAAAACCTAGTTTGCGCTTTATGCGCCAATCTTCATCCTTGGCATGTAAAATCCGGTTGGACTGCGCTTTTGGGCTGCGGTTTCGATGGTGCGTTCGGTCTTGGACGTGCTCATCTGGAGTGACCATTTGAACAAAACAGCAGAGACTTCAGTCTCGATCAGGGTAGCTATTTCAGCGCTTGGCAGACGAAGTCGGCGTTGTCGGCGTACAAAATCATGTCAGCGAGGAGATCGTGGGGTAAGTCGAGTTTTCTGGCTAGGTCTCGTAAGTTTCTTCAATGTAAACAACAAAAAGAACAGAGTACATTAATCACCCATGGGAGTACCTTTATTGCTCACGAAAGGTAAAAGTAGGCGGTTGCCGAGTCGGAGGGAGAGCATCCCGTAGTAGTTGGATCTGTCGAATTTTATCATTATCAAGAATTGGATCGAGCACGGAGTAGTTTGTCGCGGTTGACGGTGTCAAAAGCACGGGAGAGGTCGATCCCAAGAATATGGAACCGTTCTTTGTACCTCTGAGCACATGCTGCTATCAACCTGTAGGCCAACACTGCATCAGCAGTGTTGCGACTGGGTCTGAAGCCGCTTGGTGCGGAGACATAAATCGTTCGACCTTGGATGAGATGCGGCGAAGCACCACTAAAGAGATCGTTTTACGGTTTATGGTTAGTAGGACGATAGGTTGAAGGCTAGCGTATTGGCCAGCCGGCTTGTTTGACTTGAGGAGTCCGAGAAGTATCCCGTCGCCCAGGTGGGTGTTGTATCCTGTGACAAGTCCGTGATTGATGATGTCGGCAAGAGCTAGTAGCTCTAATCCATACTTAAGTAACTAGGCAGGTATAGAGTCCGGGCCCGGTGCGCGTCCATTGCGTAAGCGACAAAACGCGCATTCGAGCTCGTACGCGGTAATCGGGTTCTATAAGGGGCGTGAAAGGCCGTCGTTGGCGACGGGTCTGCGCTTGGGGCCGATAACTGGTTTGCAAAGTGTTGCTTGACCTTGGTACCTGCTTCTTTACGGCTGAAATTACATTTACCTGTGGAGTCACAAATGTCAATGGTGAGCGCCGTCGGAAAAGGGCGCGCATGGCTTCAAACATGTGAGTTGAGCGGTTCAACTGTCAATGATGGCAAGTTTCTCGTCGATGAAATCTCCAGCGAGAGCGTTTTCTGCGTGCTTGGATCCGGTACAAATGACGATTGCGTTTAGTACGTAGAACCGTGACGTCGTGCGTGTGGTCGCTGTAGATGAGCTGCCGAGGGTGACGATATTCGTACAAGAGGCGGGAAAGCTCGAGATCTACTGCTTTAGTATGGAGGGCGAGCGGCATGTAGCCAACAGAGTCTTCCACAGCCCTGAAGTACAGGAAGAAGAGTGGTTGTCTAGTGTTGATTCGCAGTTTTCCGTTATGGGGGGAGGTCAGCAAGTTTTTCTCAAGAATTTGCCGATACAAGGTGCGATACCTGCTTTCATGGGCAAGAAGATGTCGAAGTCGAGCGTGAAGAGCTTGTAGTCCGACGGTGTGATAGTGACACCTTAGGATTGCGCGTTGCTGCATAATTCTTCGTTCGTTGGCTGCATATGATGTAGTCGAATTGGTTGAAGATGCAGCGATTCTTAGTCGCAGTGTTCATGTCGTGATGGTGCGCGCGCGTTTTCGAAATGCTGTATTAGTAGTGAATAATTCGTTAGAATCACAGAAAGAGGCGAGGATGTGGTCATTACGGTTCCTTTGGATACGGCCCCATTGCCCGAGAAATGATTCGGTTTTGCGGCGTTGACCAATTTTAGCATTGAAATCACTAATGATAGTGGTCGTGTCGCGTTGACAAAGCTTAGAGAGCGCTTGTAAGAGTAGAGTGAAGCAGTGATGCACTTTTGCACGAGTAGGTAGAAGTAAAAGTAAAATATTTTGCATTAACTACTCTCCTTCGCTAGTGCTCTAACATGTATGATAGAATCAACTGCAACTATACCATTTCTAGTCTGTAGTCTTCGTCTATCCCGCCTCGTTCCAACCTGTCAAAAACGATATTTCTATCAGCGCTGTGGTCAAGTCCACGTAGAAGCCGTCGATGTATACACACTATGGGGCGCATATGCATTAACAATGTTCACTCTTTGGGCTTTAGGCAGACGTAGTTGGAGGACTCCAACTCGGTCGGACTGGGCCCAGTATGTGTAAGGAAACCTGCGTAAGTGGAAAACAACGGCAAAACCAATACCATGCCAACGGTTAGAGCATGAAGTGTCAGGAGATGATACGTACCGGTCTTCTGATCGCTCTAGAAAGCAATGCAAGTTTTGTAGATCCCGAGAATGTCAATCTTGTAAGTCGACAGATTCCGAGGAAGGGTCTCATGCTGCTTACGCTGGGAACCAAAAGATTGCATATCAAACGTACCTAAGCGGAGATGTTGGGCTTTTGGGCGTGGCTGCGGGCGTCGTGGCGGCTTGACTGGCGGATGGGGTGACAGAGGGTAGAGAGAGGGGTGTTGAGGGAGAGAACCGTCAAAGACTGACGGATGCGGTGAAGCACCCGTCAAAAGGCCTGAGCTAGCATCGGGAGGGCGTCATCCCAATCCGACCACGATATGGTTTTTTAAATGCTAGGAATTTATCAACTCGCACAGAGTCTGTGGTATATAAACCCAAACTACGTCTACTATTTATTGGATGGATCCTTTAGACCATAAGCTAAAAAGCCTTAGCATATACGCTGAACCTTCGTAAGAAGATGCAAAACACCCTGTCTTCTATGTAGGCTTACTAAAGCCATACCTCACCCATCCTCGGTGGACATCGAGAGGTTATTTCCATACTCCCCGCCGAAGGAGGCGGGTAATACGGCACTGGAAGTGCATTTGGACGCTGGAGGTGTACTAAGATGTCATTTCTTACTGAGAGCGCTCAATCGCCGCTAAGCGATCAAAAGTCTCAGAGCAATAACGCTCAAAGGATTGAAGGTGTCGTTTGACACGGATATGGGAGCGATGACAGGTGAGACATCACTGACTCAATATCATCACGCTCCAGGATCGTCAGGCGACGTTTGATCTCAGAGAAATCAAGGTCCATGGGTCACCGACCCTCGCTGACGTTAATCGATGAGCTGGGTCATTAATAGTTCCACGTCGAGCACCTATTGGTGCGACGACTTCGCCAGAGTCATAGTCATTACCTGGTGAAGTGGAGGGGTAATCCCCAGTCGTATGACTGTGGGAATTTAAGGTATCCCTCCGGCAGGATTGCCCGGATGTCGTTGATGCTTTTGACTCTAACGGAATCTGATAAGAGATGACAACAGGATTGTTAAGGACCTCTTAAATATATTAACCTTTGCTTCATTTAAAGTGCAAGTTCAAAAAGCTACTTAATATTCAATTAAAAACGTAAGAGTTTTGTAATTACTCTAGATACCATACCAACCTGTTATATATAATACTATATGTAGCTATCAGAAGTAACAGGTCTTTCTTTTTGCTGAAAAGGAAACCCCGCCCTCACAAAGCTCCAAAGGCAACGTGTAAACGAATATTCATTCTATAGTGGTGAGGTGTTGGCTATCTATCTAGTGGCAATGGCTCCACGCAAGACACGCGGCTCATTGAATACGAAACATCGTGCACCTATTAGAAAGCTCAAGGTACCAAGACACTGTCAAGTAATTACTACAGAAGAAGAAGCAGAAGAGTGTAAAACAGAAAATCCAGACTCAGACTTGGTCTTAGATCGAATGCCTTTGGGGACTCAGAAAGTTGATGGAATCAGATCCAGTCGGAGTTGTAGTCAACACATTGATGTGAATAATATGTTGTCGGGCACTTATTTCTCAAAAGCAGGTCGCAATACCTTAAGTAAACGATTAAAAGTAACGTGGGAAACATTACAGCAAATGTCCAGTCGACAGCAAGAACAAGAAGACGCTGTTTTGGACGTGAATACAGTAGACAAGCTTAGTTTTTTAGTTGCTGAGCTCTTGCAGGAAACAATCATGCAGCACCAAGACAAGAACGTACGGTCTCTTGTGGCCTGTTGTTTAGTGGAAATCATGCGCGTGTCATCACCTGACACACCGTTTAGCTCGGAGGAGGAATTGTATCGGGTTTTTAAGCTCTTTATTGAGCAAATAAGAGTGTTGGCTATCGAGCAAGCAATGACGTTGAGTGAATTACACAGTTTTCATGTGCTCGAGAGCCTTGCTACGGTAAAATCGTGTTTATTGGTTGTTGGATTGAATTTTACCATGAAGAAAGACGAAGATGCAGTGATGGTACAATTATTTCATGCTTTTTTTGAGACAATTCAACACAAACACTCGGCTAAGATTGAACATTTAATGTTGAGCATTATGGTATCATGTATTGAAGAAAGTGACCATATTGAACAGTCACTATTGGATGTAATTTTGAGCGCTTTGGTGAGTGAACCAAGCTTGGATCAAGTTGAAGAAATGAGTGGATATGGTGAACCTGTGAGCCCGTCTCACATGTCACGGGAATTAATCCGACGAACAAGTGATCTTCTTCAAATTCCACTCTCAAATTATTTTAACAATATTTTGATTGGCAGCCAAGACAGGTCGGGTTCACAAGATACCTTAAAGCTTAAAGGGCATGTGTACACTTTGATTTATAAGGTGCACACGATCAACCCCTCGCTATTGCTGCATGTTCTTCCTAATGTGTGTCTCCAACTTCAAGTAGATGAAGTTGCCACTCGGTCAGATGCTATTGCTCTCATGGGTAAATTATTTGCGTCTGCACACGCAGATTCTGGGCACCAGTACATGAAAAACTTTTGCGAGTTTCTATGTCGGTTCCGCGACGCAAGCAAGGACATTCGGCTGCAAATGATTCGCGTGTGTGTGCCCATTTGGGAGCACAAGCCTGACGTAGCTAGCTTGTTGGAAAAAGAGTTTATCTTGCGGTTGAATGACCCGGAGTGGGAAGTACGGCAGCTTGTAGTACATGAGTTGTGCGATTTTGCAGCAAACCGCCTGGAGTTGATCAGCGAGGAGTGCCTTCGGGCTGTAGGAGAGCGTATGAAGGACAAGAAAGTCGTGCTAAGAAAGGAAACTATGACGGGTCTCAGTCAAGTATTCAGTGCACACATTTCGTCGTACTGGGCACTGGAAGACAAGGAGGAAACCCGGCTATTATCACTAAATCATCGCAATATCCCAGTCGTCCATATGAAGAAACTGGGCTGGATCCCGGACTTTGTATTAAAATGTTATGCCTATCCTCAACAGGAGCTAAAACTTCGTGTGGTTCAGCTTCTGGATGATATTCTTTTGCCCAAGGGTTTTTCAGAGCGAACTCGCGCGAACGGACTACTGTTTATTTTTCACTCACTGGATGTCACTTCGAAAGAAGCACTGCGACGAGTTTTCATTGAACGTGCCAAGTGCCAAGATGCGTGCAAGCAATTTGTTGATTTTAAAATGCAGCATCGTCACCAAGAGAATGCCTCAAAGACTGACACTTATGCTTTGGATAACGCAAAACAGCAGCTGTTAACAAAACTTACACCTTTATTCTCAGACGTTAGTGGCCTGAACAAGCTCTTGGAAAGACTGTCGAAGTGGAAGGATCACACTTTGTTTAAGCACATGGGTGAGTTGTGTGACTTTACAAAAAGTCAGCGTGATATCCGTCATGCGAGAGATCAATTAACTCGATGTGTGGGATCAAAAACACCCTTGGGGGAGTTCTTAAAAAAGGTTTGTCGCAAGCTTTCATTGCTGACAATGAATCAAGCTACTGTTGCTGCGTTGTTGGATTTCTTAGTCTTGAAGCAGGGACGGCCGATGAGAGAGAATCGCAGTATCGTAGATCTTGTAGTAATGGCGTCCAGTGAACTACCCGAGCTATTTACCCCTTTCATTCGCGGAAAGGTTACAGCGATTCTAGTTCAAAGCAACGCTGGCTCAACTGCGAGTCAATCCGCAACGAATGACGAAGATGAGGAAAACTTTGTTTCTATCGATCCCCGAGTGATTCTTGGTGCCTTGCATCTTCTTGCCAATTACTCGCGGCATTGGTTTGTAAGTGTTGGCGGAGGTGATACGTTACTTGACGGCAATGAAAGTAATCTACCGTCTGCGGAATTGGTAAAACAGCTGCACAACTTTTGTCTTGGGGACAGCAATGTCGAAGCGCAAAACTTTAACTCTGCCAAGGAACGTCGGGCAGCAGAATTATCAGCGTTTTCTCTCTCCCACTTCTACGGCAGAACAGACGATACAATGGACTTACTTAACAAGCTGTGCTCGAAAGAAAAACTTGGTTCGCCCAATCATCCTAGAGCTTTGCCAGCGTTGCAAAGTCTTCAAATTTTTGCTAAGCGTTGCTGCTATATATTTGCTGAGGACAGACTGCTCTTTTTACGGCTATGGGCACATCTACTCGACGATATGGTTAGTAAAGACGATCAGATTTCGAGATTAAGCACGGCAGTACATAGAGAACAAAGTCACAACAGTAACCGATCGGCTGCGAAAAATTTAGCTGAAGTTCGTTGCTTGGCTATGAAGGTGGCTGTAAATCTGGTTGTGTACTGCGGATCCACTAAAGGTTCATCAAGTTTGGCAAGTGAAGGTACGAAACTGATCAAATTGCTTTTTGACATTTTGCGCTCGGACGGAACGGCACATACGTCAGCACCCACTGTGGCTGCTATGTTCAGAGCTACTGCATCGTGTGGTCTCATCAAGATCATGCGCAACCGACAGCTCGAGGCATCGGTGTCAGTGTCTGACTGGCATTTGCTTGGTTTCACGATTCAAGACTCAAACGAAGATGTCCGCCGAAAGTTTGTGAAAAAGTTGGCGTCCCACTTGATAAAGCAGCATGCGCAGCATCTGCACAAGTACTTAAGCTACTTGGTGCTTGCTGCTACCGATCCCAGCACCAGTGTGAAGAAAACTGCCCGAAACCTACTTAAGATTGCTGCTGAGCGTATGCGTCGCATGTTCGATGCTGCGTCTTTGCGCGAATCGGAAATGGCTTGTAGTCCTGGCCACTTGGAAAGTAGTTCGCCCACTATGTGTGCACTTATGGTACCTGAGTACGCGCTGCCTTACGTGATTCATCTTCTGGCACATCATCCCGGATTTCCAGTGAAGTTGGTCGAGAGGACGCCTTCTGTCATGGTATTGCAAAGTGCTCTGTGGACTGACCAGCTAACATATCTTGGTTTTTTCCTTGATGGATTGGTTTCGGCAAATGCCGCAGCTGCAGACAATATTGCTTTTTTGCTTCAGATGCTGACCAAGCTCTCCCAATGCCACGACGTCGAGAATCCTGATGATGTCAATATTTATCCTTTGATAGACAGCACTGTTTTCTTGCTGAAGAAGAAGATCAAGAACCAGTCCAATCTTAAGCCATTTCCAGGGAAGATTTATTTGCCGAAGCATTTGTATAGCCCTGGAAGATGCAGCACGCTAGTGACTTTGGGTGGGAGGAAAGAACCGGAGGCGCCTGAATCGCTAGAGAGGATTCCAGCCTCTCGTAGCACAAGACTCATGGTGCGTACTACATTGAATTTGTTGCTGTAAAGTTTCACCTAAACATGTTGATGCATGTTGGAACATAGACGTCGCTGTCGCCAATCAAACCCATGGACTTTGCGGAGCATTTCATGAAGCTGAATTCTCCTCCCGGGAGTTCTTTGCTGAGCAGTTCCCTGAAAAAGCGGAAGCGCTCACTCCTCAAGGCTGATGGAAGTTATTTGGATGCTGAGGAAGAGATGAAGGAAGACAACGATGACGATGCACGTGAGTCCGTGGCTGCGTCACCGCGGCACCAGTCGTTATCGAGGAATGGTCGACCGGCAATGCTTTCATTTGCAGACCATTCTAGCGATAGTGGGGTCGAGTCAGATGCGTTCTCGGGGATTGTGTCATCGCATTTTACGACTTCCAGGCCGAATGAGTCAGCATCTGCAGTATCATCCCTAAGCTCGGCCGGCTTGCGCGAAGTGGCTGCTGAAAGGACGGTGCAGAGCGATGTGTCAGCGAAGAAGCGCACACGTAGCAAAACTAATGCAGCGACGAAGTTGGAAAAGGTATGAAGCAACAATCATCCATTAAAGAAGCGTGGAATTGTGCTCACATAACGTTTCGTATGTCTAGCCAAGATTGCGGTCTGCTGGACAGTGCCAATGAATTGGCGAGAAGATGCGGACAGGTGCAAGGACTATCAGGCTGTTTTTATTGATGCCAGCGCCTTATTTTATTTAGTTTGCTTTCAACATCGCTGACGTCCTAATGCACTATTACCTATGCAAATTGCCGTGTTCTTGCGTTGTCGTTGTTGCCGTGGCATGTTGCTCGTCTTGAGCAGAGCACCGAGACTATAATAACGTTACATCTTTTCGCGACGAATATGACACAAGAAGACACGGTGTGCAAGTCGATCTCGGAAAGCAAATGCAGGGATGCGCGTACGTAATACGTAGCTGGATACAATTCGGATAACTACAATATTTACAGTGAAGTTTACGCACAAATTTTGCTGAAAGCGACTACTTTACGAGAGTAGAAAGTCGACGCTATGGCGAGGGTCTACAACATCTTGCTTCAAGAAAGAAATGGCATCATCGTGCTCGGTGTTGAAAGGCTCTTGTATTTCTTCCACGGTGCTGCGGATCTGTCCGGTCTTGGAGATATTAGCTGCAGCAAGAATGGACGCGGCATCCACGAGTGAAACATGGGCGCTCAAAGCACTAACGAGGTCCCAGTCTGCGCTGAACCACGTCACAATGCCGTCAGCGTCAAATTCAAAGCGGTAACGGACCGGAACGACGAGCATGGAGCTAATAAACTTCTGCAACAGGTCCATGTGGTGAATGAGAGACGGATACAGCGTTAACACGCCGTCCCGACGACAATTGATATGAAAGTTGGTGTCTATGACGACGACAGTGGAATCGGCCAAAACCAATACATTCATTGAAAGGATCTCGTATCGACTGTATACATAAAAGTCGCTAAAGCGTTTCCATAGCAAGATGATCGTCTCGACTCCGGCGTAGTCTGGGCCTACGGTCTGCGCTGTCATGATGGAGCGAAGAAATTGCTCCTGCTGGATCACGTTTGTTGGAGAGATGCCGTACTTAAAGAGCCGAAAATACTCCACGGCTAGACGAGCTGGCACCCCAGCGTCAGTGCCTCTTGAGCTGAAGAAGTTACGGTCGACGAAAAGTCGTTGACGTTTCGAGTTGAGTTGCTCAATCTCTGTAAGCAGAGTCTGCACGTCGTGCCCAAGCGTAATCATTTTCTCTTTCTGCTTGGCTCGGTGGCGCCGTTGATGGAGCTTGTACTGCAGGCGTCTGCAAAGAACCTTGTCATTAATGTCCTCTTCCTGAGGGTGCTTTGAACAAGCGGACGACTTGCCACGGGCTACAACGGCCACGATGCCCGAAACAGCGGCCATTGGTGGTTGGGAATTTGGATAGTGTGGGGCGTTCCTCAAAAGACGGTGAAAGCCAAAATGAATGTTTGAGAAGTTGACGCAAATGTCAGCCGTTTTGTGGACGACTTGTTCAGCTGTTGTCGTCGATGATGCCGATTGTTGAATGGCTGCGTTCCATTGAGCTGTGATGGATAGCCTCACGCCCATGGCGATGGGACGGGCTTCGGTATTGCATAGTCAAACCAAGATTCTTGCCGCTATGCGATACATGAACGATTTGAATTGTAAAGGGAGTGATATTGGACACCTATTGAGGATGTCAAACATCCGGATCCTTAAACTTTTGTGAAATTATAAGGCGATCGGTGGAAACAAACACAACGAGGATTCAATATGCTTGCGTCTATGCAAAGCAAATCCTTTTTAGAATGGAGAGAGTGGGTTATGGACACGACATACCTGACTACGTACGACACGCAACGTCGCACAGAAAAGATTACAAGCCTGCAACCACCTGCGAAACCTGATCGTTGAGGATGATGGCTTGTAGGCCAACTCTTTTGAATGAGTCAACTGGTGGCAAGCATGCTCGATATTAGTAAGTTCTTAGCGCGTATGTGTGCACTGAAGTCCTGCGTGTCATGTTGCATTTCATTCGTTTTCACGATGTAAATTTGACAACATTGATCAAATATCTGCAACTTGGTCTCAGTGTGAACGTCATCATCACTATAAAGAAAGAGACGCACGCGCTGGTTCCAGCTAGAATTTGTTTTGCAACACGATTCTGATCCACGCGAGAGGGCTCGGCGAATTCGGCGACCTTCACTTGTTACGTAGCGCATTGCACAATCCCAGCATCTTCGGGAATAAAGCAAGTCAAAAAATTGTTCAGAGCGTTCATTTAATGCCACGGACATGCTCATGCAAAAGTGGGTTCGAAGTGAAAACGAGAAAATTTCGCTTCATTCCACGGCCGTTTTCGGTAGTGGCCATGCCTTGCGCACCAAAAAGGCTCGTGCGTCTTGTTTTCCAAACGAGACATTCTTGCGCAAGGTTTCAGCGTGGTTGTCTACTTGGTGTCTGAAACTTCCAGGGGTCGTTTACTCAGCGTCGTTATCGACTCGAAGTGGTCGCGACAGTACAAAGTCGTGTCACAGGTGGCCGAGTTATGTGTATTATTACTGACTCATCCGAAATGGGAAGGGCACAACGTGCAATATGTTACACATCACATCTGGTTGTCAATACTCACGCACCGAATTCCATCTGAGATGTGTCGAGTCCAAAGGTTACCAAATGACTCACATGCTGCCTCTTGATGTGCACTAATCTTGATGAAAACCGTCGAAAAGCGGACAAAACATCAGTTTGCTACCAACCAATACATTAGGTGCCGGTACTTTCTGACAGGGGCGTCATTTGTTGACGAGAGGATCGTTCATCCTATAGCCTGGAATTGCTGATCGCAGTGTGATACAGTATAGAAAGAATGTGTCTCGCCATGTTCTTTGTCCTCAGCCATTTAATTGATCCGTTCTCTCTCTTCTTCAAATGGCATGAGCGTATTGCATTCGTACGCACAGAATAGTCGAATCGTCAACATTGACCAACCCTGTTTAACTCGTCTCGATTCTCACAGCATTCGATATGGACTGTTCAGTACCTGCAAGACAAAATTCATCTTGTTAATTCTAGACGAAACCACCGCGCCTTGTGATCGATTACTCGTGAATTGACCATTGCCTATGATGCCAATCTGACTCATGACAAGTTGCTGAGTCAGACCAATCCCAAATTCATTGTGAATAATTTATCTCGATCCACGTATACAGTGTCTCTTACTGATGCCGCTATCATGCGATTGTCTGTCATTTACAAAGCCAAACAGCCTCCACTTCTTTGACTCCTCAATGTGTCTGATCTTTCTGTACGTCGCATGCCATAGCTCTTTGCAATCGAGATCACGCGCAACGGGATCGAGCCATGGGATGAGTCAGATGATTGATAAAGACGCTGGGAAGGACCAAGATAGAGCCAACAAGAATGAGACAAACCGACAAAAAGGCAAATAGGCCACTTGACGACATGCTTCACCAACGTCGCCACCGAGACAAGAAGCAGCATACTTGAGTGCAATGGTGACGTCTAGTTTGACGACCACAACGAGGACTGCATGCAGAATCATCGTGAGACTTGCTGCTGTAGGTTTTTGGCTTTGGATTGGTTTGTGTACCGCTAGACAAAGTATTATTGTAGACACGAGCACACCGCAATTTTTAACCTGAGCTGGTGCGTTAAAATGTGGGAAAGGTGTCGTGCAAGATAATAACCTACTCTTTGAATCCGACGCGCTGAGCACGTTATTGCATTGCGAGCAAACCCTCAAGTACATACCAAGTCGGTGCTGAAACAGGCGTCCATGATAATCTAAGGCTGCTGAAACAGGTAAGAGCTTCTGTTGCATTAAATATAGCCTGTATTTGAGAGCTTCTAGTTTTCATTCCGTTAACGACATGTAGAGCTGTACGTGTAGCTAAGAATGAGATAAACCACACTGGTTTTTTGTGTGACAAAGGAAACGTTGATGACCGTCAGTCAATCGAAAGGATGCTGAAACAAGTGAGAGCTTTATTGCGCTCAATGAAGCCTGGACTTGCAGAGTCTCTTGTTTCGTTTCGTCACCAACAAATTACATTTTAGCCTACACAAGTCAAGTTTGATTGCACTCCTTCTAAATCCGATAATAATAATATTTCAATCGATATCAATATGGTGCTATTATGTTCAAGTATGGTGCTCAAGTAGAAATATTTACAACTGTTATGGTGTGGGATTATCAAACCTTTTTTTCGTCGGCTATTGATTGCCATTCTGCTGGCACCTAAAGCTCTTAAAGCTTGCATCGAGAGCGCAATAATTTATCTGTAATACTGTAAACGACATTATTGCAGGACGCAAGGTCGGTACAATTGCATACAGCGGATTAACGCAGACTATGGATAGACGAGACCAGAGATGTAAAACCTTGGATGTATGATTACATTATAGCTTACATAAATTGCAACCTATAAGCTCATCTGCCACTGGACTGGACAACAATGGGCCTGCAACGTCTTCATGACTTCCTAGCCAATAGTGCAAGCCGACGAGCACCAGAGCTAACCACGTTGGTTCGTGAACAGCTCAACGGCTCGAACCCCGACGAGGCGGCTACATAAGTCTACGTATAGCGACGCCTCTTGGCCATCGTGAGCAGCGTATGCATTGCTCGCGTATAAGTACAAAGAAACCGGACAACGTCTCTAGCAGGCAAACCTGACCAGAGAGGGCAGCGTTCACGAGTTTTGGGGAACCGGCATGCGACAAAATTCCATTCTATTGGTAAGCGCGAGAGTCCACGCGCAGACACGTCCATCAGCGGCACACGTCTGTTACTCTGCCAACGCATCACTTTTCGACGCCGTTGTAACGAACCTTGTGAGCCTCCTTAATAATAAATACTATATACTCTTTCACATCAATCAGTATCGGTTTTGAATGCTTTTAGTCGATTATAATAGACCCGTTTCGATCCAATCTGCGTCGTAAGTCTCTTTTCTAAATGAATCTACGAGATAAATTATCATCATAAGGGCCCAATTTTGCTTTACGTCTATCATGTAAATTGACCAAACGTTTACTTTTCAGAAAAGTGTAGCTATCATACAGTTGAGCAACTTCAATTTTGTGTGGCACACTCACTAAAACGTTTTGGTTGGTCACTGGCAAGTTGACGACCTTCATTCTGCATCAAGTCCGCACTGAGAGAGCTCGGATATGGCGAATGGACACGAAGCTGAAGACGCTATTGGTCACTCTAAGAACAGCGACAACAACGTGATGAGCGTCACCCGCCTGTATTCAGGTCTTAAGAGTCTTCTGGCTGCTATTGATATCGATGCGCTCAAGACTCACCCAGCTGGTCAAGTATTAGTGATGGTTGAACCTACAGATAAAGAGCATGACATCCACACACAGTTGCAGGCACTGGCATCGTGCCTTGTTCACGCTAATTTTCGTTCTGTCATTGTAAAGTGTCTGCGGCCATTCATGCTGGATCTAATAATGCGTCTTATAGACCCAGTGCTTGTGCTGTACGAGCAAGTGGAGGAGGAATGGAAGGACATTGAGTGTTCCGATAGCATGAAGAGAAGTGAGCTTCTTGCTGCAACATTAGCCGAGCTACTAGTGTATCTACCGGCTACAAGCACTTTAGCTGAACAATACTTTGAAACAGCGTTGTGCTTCTTTACGTTTGCGGACGTTGTAGCCGCTCAGAAGCAGCAAAATGCCGAGACGCTGCCGAGATTACGACGCATTGCTCAGACAGCCTTTCAGCTGCTCCGAGTAAAACCTATGGAGCTCATGTCAATGTGGAATTGGACGTCTTTTTTTCCGCTCAGTTTCCACGACGATACGTGCGTCCGCTGGTATGCAGCACGTGCTACTGCATCGGTTTTGAAGATGGGTAACGCACAGAGGAAACAATTTCTTTGTAGATTGAGTGTTGGTGAGGAAGCTGCGTTGAGTGCCACCAGCTCCGCGGTGCGACAGATTGAACTAGAGCAGCACTGCAAGGACTTGACACGACAAGAAGAGATGATTGAAGTGAGTTTATATCAGCAGCAGGATGAAAGGGATGGCGTAGAGTCACAAGCGTTGCCCTTTCATAAGTCACTAGTGAATATTTTTGGCGTTGTCGTTCCGACGAGCAACATTCACGAGCAACGATTTGGACTGACAGATACTTCAGTAGCCACCAAAGTGTTGGTGCCCACGCCTTCGACCAAACGGAATTTACGATCACTCTCCATTGCACTTGGTTTGAAAAAGCCGATTCTAGTGACAGGCCCGGACGGATGTGGCAAGACAGCTACGATTCGTGAACTTGCTCGACTTTCTTGCAACGACGACATGATCGAGCTGCATTTGGACGACCAGATTGATAGCAAGACGCTACTTGGATCGTATGTGTGCACAGACGTCCCTGGCGAATTTACGTGGCAACCTGGTGCGCTTACAACTGCCGTCCTTGCAGGACGATGGGTGCTTATTGAAGATATTGACCGGGCCCCATTCGAGGTGCTTGCAACGCTTATGCCGCTACTTGAAATGCGCGAAATGGTGCTACCTGGTCGCGGTGAGTTACTAGTTGCACACGCGAATTTCCAGATTTTCGGGACGACAACGTACAAGCATCAAATGCCTAAGGGATTTCAGGAGTCTCTTTGGGCAAATGTTGGTCTTGCCCCACTTGTAGATAGTGAGATTGAGCAAATTATACTAACTCGTTTTGCGAAGATACCGCGACAGGTTGTGTCAAGCATCATGACCACGTACAACGCGGTGTGTGGCAACACAAGCGAAGAGATCAGTGGTCCTGCACAGCTGTGGAAGGAGACACGACGCAATTACGGGCGTGCTTTTTGCTTGCGTGATTTATTGAAGTGGTGCAAACGAATTTATCGCTTCTGCTATTGTGCGACAAGAGCTGCTATCGATAGCTTACCCTCCAAGTTGGAATACATAAGCGAGGATGAGCGTATGCGTGTTGTAGTGGAAGCACTTGACGTGTTCTGTGCAGGCATTAGGGAATCAAAGACGCGCTTACTTTCCGCTTGCGCGATAGCAGCCATATGGAAAGTGCGGCCCGACAAGATTAAATATTATCTGGAGCAGCACAAGCCTCATGTTGCATTTAGCAAACACGAAGTGGTGTTTGGTCGTGTACACTTGCCGACACTATCACAGCAAGCGCAGCTTGAGCAAGGTGACAAGCCAGCTACTAGCTCTGTGGTAATGACTGGCCATGTGCTACGTCTATTGGAGAAGATGGCAGTCATTGTAGCGACTTGTGAGCCAGCACTGCTTATCGGTGAGACTGGTTGCGGTAAAACAACGATAGTTCAGCACATGGCCGCAACAATGGGACAGCATCTGGTAGTACAAAACTTGAATATTCAGAGTGATAGTTCCGATCTTGTGGGAGGATACAAACCAGTGGAAATTCACCTGCTCGCCCGTCCATTGTACATGACATTTGTAGATTTATTCACAGGTACGTTTTCGCAAAAAAGTAACGCTCAATTTCTGGACTTGGTGCGAACTGCGTTAGAACATAAGGACTGGAAGAAACTTGTAAAGGGCATGAAGAAAGCCGTTCAGATGGCTGCTTCTAAACTCAAAACCAGCCTAGGCGAAGGGGGCCAAGATGCATTGGAAAGTACTGGTAGAAAGAAAATTTGTTCAACTGGCGCGTCGACGAGAATGTTGGTAAGCCAATGGGATACCTTCGAGGCGGAATTGATGCGATTTGAGCGGCAGAAAGAGCAAGCTGAATTACACTTTGCCTTTTCTTTTGTGGAGGGTGTTTTAGTGAAAGCACTGCGAGAGGGTCATTGGGTGCTGCTTGATGAAATTAATCTTGCATCTTCTGACATACTGGAGCGAATAAGTACGCTATTAGAACACGAAACAAGCGCGTTCTCTCTCACAGAGCGAGGAGATGTGGAAGTAATTCGTCCACATCCTAATTTTCGTCTTTTTGGTGCTATGAACCCGTCAACAGACGTCGGTAAAAAGGATTTGCCTCCTTCGCTCCGCAATCGCTTTACAGAAATTTATGTTGACGAGTGTGTCGACCCTTCAGATTTGCAAATGGTGGTTCACCATCATTTCAAGCAGATTCCAGGCGCGTTAGTTCCCGAAACGGTCGAATTTTATCTAGAGGCAAGGAAGCAAGCTGACCTACGACTGAGTGATGGTGCATGTCACAAACCCCGCTATTCTCTCCGTACGCTGAGCCAGGCACTGCATATCACTCGTATTTTGATTCAGCGAGGTTATGGCACATCCCGAGCAATGTTTGAAGGCTTTTGCTCAAGCTTTTGTACGCAGCTTGAGATGGAATCGCGTCAATATCTGGAGAGACTCATTAAGAACACGTTTGCAAAGACAATAAAGTCGAAGGAGCTTACCCGCTGCCCACCATGCCCTGGACGCTCAAAGAAGACTTCTGAATATGTCTTGGTGAGCTCCTACTGGGTTCAAAAGGGTGATTTTCTGCCCCCACGAGACGATTCACTGCCGGATCCAGTAACGTTCCGACGAAAGTTTGTGCTTACGAAGTCGGTGGAAGAAAATTTGCGCCATGTATCACGGGCAGCATTGATCGGGAAGTATCCTGTGCTGTTGCAGGGACCAACGTCTGCAGGTAAAACATCCTTAATTGGGTATCTGGCAGCACGTATCGGACAAAAGTGCGTGCGTATTAACAACCACGAGCACACAGACATTCAAGAATATTTTGGAAGCTACGTTTCGGATTCCAACGGCAAGCTTGCATTTAAGGAAGGTGTTCTAGTTGAGGCCGTTCGCAAGGGTTGGTGGATCATTCTGGATGAGTTAAATCTGGCTCCTTCAGAAGTGTTGGAGGCTCTGAATCGACTGCTGGACGACAATCGTGAGCTGTATATGTCAGAGACACAGGAGACCATTAAGCCTCATTCGAAATTTATGTTGTTTGCAACGCAAAACCCTCCAGGGCTTTACGGTGGACGCAAGGTGCTGTCACGCGCATTCCGCAATCGTTTTTTGGAAATTCAGGTTGATGAAGTCGCGTCAGGTGAGCTGCAGACAATTTTGCAGGAGCGCAGTTTACTGCCACCGTCATATTGTGGAATTTTGGTTGACGTCATGCGGCAGCTGCAGCTTGTTAGACAGCAATCGTCAGTTTTTGCCGGAAAGTCGGGATTTGTCACTACTCGTGATTTGCTCAGATGGGCTGAACGTCGACCATCAACTAAGCAAGCTTTGGCCGAGGAAGGGTACTGTTTGCTGGCGGAGCGGTTGCGGAAAGATGACGAGAAGCAAGTAGTCAAGCAAATTTTGGAGAAGAAGTGCAACGTCAAAATTGATCTGGATGCCCTGTACCACGGTGGCAAGCCTCGTGAGTCAACTCTGCTGAATCAGAATGGTGAGATAGAGCAGGAAACGGTTTGGGGTACTAGAGATCAGTTTGAGCGTGTTCAAGCCATGGTGGAACGCGCTATTGAGGAAGCTGCTTACGGAAAGTTGAGCAATGACGAGCGTAAGTGTGCCGGCAATGCAGCAGGATTGGACAACATTAGTGTGACGAAGTCGCTCCGTCGACTCTTTGCGCTTGTTGGACGTTGTTTGCAGAACGAAGAGCCTGTACTTTTGGTTGGAGAAACCGGTTGTGGAAAGACTATGGTTTGCCAGCTGTACTCGCTCCTTTTCGCGCAGCCGCTTCACATCCTGAATTGTCACCAGCACACTGAGACCTCAGATTTTCTGGGTTGCTTACGGCCTGTTCGTGGAAAAGAGAAAACTGCCCAGGAGCTAGAAGTCGCACTTGTAGATTATTTTGCGATAGGTGACGGATGCACTGATTATCAGGTAATCGAGCAGCGTCGGACTAATGCCAAAGCCATGGATGTAAACTCGATGCTTCAGAAATACGAGTATACGCGAGCTAGCGTTATGAGTGGTGAGTTGACGCAGCAGAAGAAACTTTGCGAGCAGATTGATGTATTAAAATGCCGGCTCCATTCTATTTTCGAATGGGTCGACGGTCCTCTGCTAGAGTCCATGAAGAATGGCGATTTGATTTTGATCGATGAGATAAATCTTGCTGAAGATGCCGTGCTGGAGCGTTTAAACAGTGTGCTGGAACCGTCACGAACGCTGCTGCTTGCTGAAAAGGGAGGTGACCAAGTGGAAGAGATTGTAGCTCACCCAAAATGGCGTGTGATGGCGACGATGAACCCTGGTGGTGATTTTGGTAAGCGTGAGTTGTCTCCAGCTTTGCGTAACCGTTTTACAGAAATTTGGGTACCATCCATATCAGACTTGGGTGATATAGCCATGATCATTCGTGACAGATTAGTTGGACCTCAGACGATTAACCGGCCAGCTTTTACAATGCAATCAAAGCAAATGGACGACCTGGCTCCGCTATGCAACCCAATTCTTAGTTTTGTTAAGGCTTTCAACGAGGCAAATGGAGGTATCGGTGGGTGCGGAGCTGTGACTATGCGCGATATCTTAAGCTGGACCAATTTTATAATATCTTACGTAGAGAAGCGAGAAGCTGATTCATCACTAACGGAAACGGCATGGACGGCGTTTGTGCAAGGTGCAGCACTGTCTTTACTAGATGGTCTTGGTCTTGGGTCTGATAAAGCACTTTACTCGGCTCTGAAGGCTAGAGAAGAAGCATACCGCTATTTGTTAGCGCTGGTACCAGACGATGACCTCCATATTAAGGAGAAAGTCATTGACACGCTGAATGTCTCGACGCTATCTGTTGAAAGCAGTATTGAACAACTAAATTTGAACGCTGCGAAGGGAGCGACCAAAAAGATGTTTGGCATTTACCCGTTTTTTATCTCTCGCGGACCTGATCCGGTGTGGCAAAAGTCCTCTTTTTCCTTAAAGGCCCCGACAACGATGTCGAACTTATACCGCGTTTTGCGGGCCATGCAGGTTTGTCGCCCCATCATCTTGGAAGGTTCTCCAGGTGTTGGCAAGACGAGTTTGATTAGTGCATTGGCGGCAGCTTCAGGTCACCGCCTTGTGCGTATCAATTTATCAGAACAGACTGATATATCTGATCTCTTTGGGTCGGATTTACCAGCCGCCTCTGGTGACAAGGGCAGCGGCCAATCGAAAAGAGGAAGCTCAAGCGGTATGTTTGAGTGGTGCGACGGTGTGTTCTTGCGAGCTTTGAAAGCAGGTGATTGGGTTTTACTTGATGAGCTGAATTTGGCGTCGCAGTCTGTTTTGGAGGGTTTGAACTCATGCCTGGACCACCGAGGTAGCGTTTACATTCCGGAGCTCGACCGCGAGTTTGAGTGTCCGCCAACTTTCCGCGTGTTTGCTGCGCAAAACCCGCTTCGACAGGGCTGTGGTCGCAAGGGCCTCCCTAAATCTTTTTTGAACCGGTTCACACGAGTTTTTGTTGAGACGCTGCACGAACAAGATCTCATCCATATTACAAGCTCGATGTATCCTCTGCTGCACTACGCAGTCGCAGAAATGGACTTGAGCGGGGGGGTCGTCCAGTAGGCATACTTTACTGGAGCGGATGATTGGCTTCAACCGAGCGGTGCATGAAGACACCATGGTGAACTGCAAGTATGGACGTCTTGGGGCACCCTGGGAATTTAATCTGCGTGATGTGTTTCGTTTCTGTGACTTGCTCAGACAACATACCGAAATAGGAAACAGTCTTGACAGCCAACTTCATGCGTTGAGTTACTACGTGAACTTCATTTATGTGGGACGGATGCGCTCTCCTCGCGACCGCGAGCTAATTTCTCGTCGATTTGAGGATTTCTTTGGTGTACCGCCAATGAACTTGAGTGCTGTTTCATTTCAAATATCTGCAGAATTTGTAAAGATCGGAAGTGCATTGCTTCCGCGACGACAAGGTGAGCAAAACGGTCGTGTTGCTCCGCCAATATTAAACTTTTTGCTGAGACCCATGGAGGCGTTGGTACATTGCGTGAACATGTCATGGCCAGCTCTTCTTGTTGGTCCGCCTGCCAGCGGAAAAACATCCTCGGTCCGTTTGCTTGCTTCTCTGAGTGGAAACACGTTGCATGAACTCGGTATGAGTGCTGGAACGGACGCTACAGAGCTGCTTGGTTGCTTTGAGCAAGTGAATGTTGGACGAAAGCTGCGCGAAATCAAGCAGAAGATTCAAGTCATCTACGAAAGGGTACTCCAGCAACTAATGCTCGCATGTGCGACCAACGGGGTTTCTCAGAAGAAGAAAGCAACAATTCAAAACAAGGCTAGTCGTCTCAATAATACTTGGTGGGCGCTCATCACGCGCGAAAAGTATCACAGCGATAATGCAGTGCCGCAAAGTCACAAAAAGAGAAGTGATAAGAAGCCCGAAGCAAAGAAGTTACCGAAAGGGCAACTAGATGCGGGGATTGTTGATTTAATGAAGAGTGTCGTGAGCGTGCTCCAACAGACTGACGCTGCAAATGAGGAGATGATATCGGTGCTTGCTGGCTGTATGAATGACATTGATAGCGTGGTACAACTCAGCAAATCCAGCTCGATTGCAAGTTGCTTTGAGTGGGTGGACGGTGCTCTCATTCAGGCTATGGAGAAGGGTCACTGGGTGCTCTTGGACAACGTCAATTTTTGCAGCTCGTCTGTTTTGGACCGATTAAACTCACTGATGGAGACTGATGGTGAGATGCTCGTTAATGAATGCGGTATCATCGATGGCAAACTTCGTGTCATTAAGCCCCACAAAAACTTTCGAATATTTTTGGCTATGGATCCTCAATATGGCGAGGTATCTCGTGCGATGCGAAACCGATGCGTAGAGATCGCACATGGCGAAGAGGATGCACCGCGTTTGGATCTTATTAAGATTGCACTGGCATGTGGAATTCCAGGATTTGCTCTTTCGCGAGCCTTCCAAGTTACCCATGAGCGCGCGGTTACCAAACTCAAAGAGTACACGGCGGGCACGAAAGTTGGTCGCATTAACCGTCGGCACTTAGAAAACTGGTCTTTGTTGGCTTTTGCTGAGTTCTCGCGAGGGATTGAACCCCTTCGTGCGATCACTGAGTCTTTCCGACGTGTATATGACGATGGGTTCCTGACCGAGCCAGAATTTAGCGAAGAAATTCTGGAGCTGTTTCTCGACGCATTCCAGGCTTACCAGCAAAACGGACAATGTCAGCGCGCGCTTATACCGGTTGCTGCACCTTCTACATTGGTGTGTGAGCAAAGTGAGAGCTTTATGCTACAACGAGATGTTGCGTATCTTGAATACCTCATTTTGTCTTCGCAGCAGTCGGAGAACTGTAGCGCGAGTGACCTGCAACTGAGCTGGTTAGATCCCGACGTGAGTGTTGCTAGGTGCAAAGGTGCCCCATTTCCTGATGGAAGCAATAATTTAAATGCTTGGCTGGAATGTGTTTCTTCTCGAGTCCACCGCCAGGAAACAACGTACTCGCAAAGGGCTCTTGAAGGAGCTCGTGATCACCTATCATCAAAGTCGTTCTTTGGGCTAGCAAACGCAAACACATCTTTAGCGGTGATACTTGCTCCTTTCGCACTCCGTCGTATAGTGGAAGTAGCTAGCATATATTGCAACACCAGAATTCAGTGGTCAACGACAACGGACCGCCTCCTTTTTGCTTTGGAAAAAATTGCGAGTGGAGTAGGTGGTAAAGCAAACACTTTAAGATTGGTTAAGTTGCTTGCCCGTTTTCTCCGGTCGATGACGGAGACTGAATTGAACATCAATGTTCCTCAAAAACTCGATGAGACGGTACGCCACTTGGCAAGTTTGCTGGACAGGTCGGCAAGCTTGCCTCCCATGTATCTTCCAGCCAACCACTCGGCTTTCTTCAACTTGCAATCCCTTGTTGCTGATTGTATAGTAAGGACTCCGTCGAGAAAGACTGACCTCGACAACGCCTGGAACTCTGTGATGATCGCACAACGCCATTTTGAGCTACTCAATGGCATGGAGTGGTTAATTTTTTGCGAGCGAGAACAGTATCGTCAAGTTGATACGCTTTTTGCTGCATCGTCAACAACGGACGGCAAGGACAAACGTAATAAGAAAGGTATCCGCCGTCTTGGAAGCAATATGGATAATTTGTCAGTGTTGCAACAGTCTTATGCTGTGCACAAGTATCAGGCTGATCGTTCATACGTGGAAAACGAGCTGACGTTCTTGGTTTATCCGCTTTTAAGTGCTTTTGATGCTTTCCTTGCCGATTTAATACGAGATTTTTCGAATTTAATCATGAATCCGTTGTTTTTCGAAGCTGTTCAGGCCGCTTTTCGAGACCGATTCGAGTTTTCAATTCAGTTGCGAGTGGAGGTTTTCGAGTGGACACACTTTCTCATCCACTGGCAGTGGATGAAAAAGGTACTGCTACGACTTGGAAAGCTAATTGAGCAGCACCCCGCTGAGGCGTTTGGGTGGCGTTCGCAGTGGAACAATTTGCTGAATATGGTTCAACGTGTGCAAGATGCAATTGAAGAGAACATAGGCTGTCAATCTAGGAAAGCTGTGCTTTGGAAAAAGGGAGGCTACTCGTTGCTTCCGAGCAGTGTTGACCTTTGGAAGGCTGAATACCTGCTCAAATGGCTATCCGAGACGTTTATGCATGCTAATTTGATGTGCTTCTCTGCTCTTTCCTCGGGCGAGTCTGGGAGACCTACGGATGGCAAGGTAGACGTGCTCGCACTTTTGTTTGGTGGCGTTGACTCCATGGAAGCTGCGATGAAAAACGGAAAACTGGATGTGTCGCCACTGTTTTACGTGGACATTGACTCTCGAAAGGAAGTCTTATATGCACTATGTACATTTTCATACCTAGCTCAAGAGCAAAGACGAGGAAAAACTGGAAGTGCTTTAACACCAAAGCAGCCACACGCTCTGATGGCAAAGGAGTTGTTCAAGCTGCCTAATGTACTACTGAAAAAACTACAGAACGAACAGTTTAAGACCACGGAGCTTGTTTTAAAGATGACGTTGTATTTGAGCGAGATTGAGGAAACCAGTCACGCGGATTTGCTAAGTGTAGAAGATGGCCGAATTGGCAAGGATACGCCAATCTTGCTGTTTAATATGAGGGAGAGTGCACGGTTGATCGATCGGATGGTGACCTTCCAATTAAGTCCAATGTTCGAGCATGCTCTTGCCCGCCAAGAGCTTCAGAGTATTACGGGGCTGGTACGCGTGCTGAATATGTATCGTCTGTACAAGAACAGTATGTCTCAAGCAAGATGCATTGAGCTCGTTAAGGATATTCGAGATGTGCTTCAATCGCTAGAAGTTATCATTGAGGAGCTACTACGACTGGGCCTTCGCAACCCTGCTTGCTTCTATGGCTATCAAGACATCGTTTGGTGCGGCCACGAACTTGTTTCTTTAGAAAGTTCTAGTGAGATGATAGGTGACCACACTGCTAAGCTCGAGCGGTTTATTTCCGTTCTCCAGTCACACCTGAACGGCATGCTGTTTAGATTCCACCAGTTCTTGCGTTGTAATAGCTTTAACCATATGGACCTTATTTCGCTGGAGGTTTTTGATACTCGAAAGAAGTTGCGCAAGGCAAACAAGCGGACTTTTGCCGTGTGTACTGACGTTGCCGATCACGGTCAGGTTGTTGCAGGCTTTCCACGTTTATTTCAGGCCGTCCAAAGCGCAGTTGCTCTAAAAAATATTGCAGAGGTGAATTTGGAAGAATCTATGTGCCCTACTAGCGAGGTGCAAATGCGTGCTGCTCGGCTCGAGAAAGTCAAGACCCATTTTGACACAAAGCATGCCCAGGTAGGAAAGATGACATTTAGTACAAGCAGTTCGTTTGTCCGAGAGCTTTTTATAGCGACGGTGTTAGCTTTCGAGTCGACATTCCTAGAAGATTCCGTGTTTATTCAGTGGAAGGAGATTCATTCTCTTCTTCTTCAGTTTGCAGATAGTATGCAGACTTTCGATACCAACGCTCGAGCTAAACTCCTGAAAGCTTTGCGCACTTCCGAGGACCACACCTTTGTGACGCTAGTTGATGTCTTTGTAGCTCCGTTAGTGACTTCTTTGACTACGGAAGGTGAAGGACAATTCAGTGGCTGCCGTACAAGTGCAGTCGGTGAGAGTATGGTGTTGCTGGGTTTGTGGCGTTTTGCACTACTTCTCCCGTCCTCTCCGGTGGATCCCGTTACGAAGCCATTGGTGAAAAAGGAGAATTTGCTGAACCGCTTGGCAATGCTCACCATGAACGATGCTGCAAGTTCTTCGATTCACCGACTTAATTCTTCGCCTGCATCATCGTTGGATTGTTTCCAAAATGATACACGCTCGTTGCGTGATTTATACAACCAAGTAACGGAAGTTTCTGCTCATGCTATCCAGCGCTATCAACCGATGAAGCCGCGCAGTGACGCTGCAATGATTGATTTGAGGGACTTTGAAATGAAGCCTGTGGCAGCTTCCATCTTTGGTGAGCTCTTCCACGATTTGCTGCGCTTTAACACTACGGTGATGTCTGCTGAAAAAATGCTAGCATTGCTTTGCACAGCTAAATCATCAAAGTCTACGGAACAGCGGAAACGCGAACTGTTGCGTGAACTTATTATGTTCCAACAAACATCAGAGAACTTCCTTGCTCAATTGTCAAAAAAGTTTGGAGACTGTTTTCGCGATGTACTAGAACCAGTCGCGGGTGCTATTTACTGCGTAAAGGAAGGTGTAGCATTGGTAACATGGTCACTACATGAAAATCTTCAAAATGTTTCGCTGAAACAGCAGGAAAAAGAGGCTTTGGCTCTGTCTCTTGTGCGGTTTCCCTCTAGCTTGAACGTGAAAACGGTGGGTCAATCTTGGTGTAACATCCAGTTGATGCTGCAAACTGCTGGGAAACCTGCGTGGTCAAGTTTGCTCGGTGCAGGTTTGTCGAACAAACGCAAGGTTGAAGTGACTTTTCTGGACGTGGCTCTGTCAAAAACAGAGCTCCTTTTCCGCGAAACTTTGACGACTGCACGCAAGAACTGCGCGCTTGACTTCACAGCGGTCGAGATGGCTTTCGAAAGCAGCAAGGCGCTTTTTGATCTTTTCTTGTCGAAGTGGCAACAACAGAAAGAACGTGAAGAGCAGAAACGGAAGGAGGAGGAAGAATTGTTCAAGTACAAGACCCGTCAGTTGGATTTGGAAACTGAAGAAGAATTGCTGGAGAAGGAGTACCGCGAGCAGTTTCCAGATTATAGTAGTTGTGATTTTCAAGCATTTTTGAGCCCAACTCAGGCGGTCGAAGCTGATGCTGAAAGATCAGATTTGTTGACTGCGACAGAAATAAATTTGCTGATAACAGACACCATTGTGCAGCGATTGTATGAAACGCACGTGAAGTTGTATGCTGAGACCGCGAACTCCGACATTGCAATAACCAAGGATGAAATTGTAAATGCCTTTGCAAGGGCATTTTCGCTAGCGCTAAAGCTGTACAAGTCATGGAACTTGACGGCTTCTACAGCTACTGAGAGTGCTGTGGAATCTTCGGGAGTCTTGGCTGCCTCGCTTGTTCAAGCTCGCCTTGGTGGTACCACTGGATCGAAAATGAGTGTTGCGCCATCGTTCCAGGCGTTAAACAGCGACTACATACGAGGCATCGACTTTCATCGTGATCCGCTTGTCAAAGAAGTTATTCTTGTGGCAGAACCGTTGCAGCGCTTGATGGTGAAGGTTCAGTCGCTTTTAGCTCAATGGCCCGATCATGCAATTCTTCAGCAAATGGTACTCATCGCCGACCGTATCCGCAACTTCGAAATCAGCTCTCCGCTGGTCCGCACGCTTACTGGTGTGGAATTACTGCTGCGTAAGGCTCAGGAGTGGGAGATGTATGCGGCACGGGCTTACTCGATAAGTGATGAGCTAGGATCTCTATCATCGCTGGTGACGCGGTGGCGAAAGCTAGAGCTTTACTCATGGCCCCATCTGCTTTACGTAAAAGAAAAACAGCACCGTTTCATGGCACAGAAAACGTGGATCAGTATGTACTCGCTGCTTACGGCGCAGTTTGAATCGGACGCTGGCATCGCTGATCACATAGATGCTACCACTAAAAGGTCACAAAATTTGCAGTGGCTTCGCCTCAGCCAGGTGTCAATGTGGCTATTCATACCACTCAATGAGAACAGAGCTGGCTACCAGGCACTGAGCGATGTTGCACGAGAGAGTCAAGCTAAGCGGCGCGAGTTTATGATCCAACTTTTTGAGACATTGGACGCCTACATTCGCTCGTGCCCTATCGGGCAGTACGAAACTCGCCTACTTGTGGTGTATTCGATCTGCGCACAGCTGTTCATGGAGCTTTGGGCCCCTTCAAAACGCCGGGGAACATCCACCGACTATGTCACAACGTCGTCGAAGTATGCACTGGCAAATATGTTGTATCATCTATACCGGTATTACGGACAACACTTGGGATATTTGGAGCGTGAGTGGAGTGCTCTTAAGGCGCCAATTCAGCGTAAACTGGTTGAATTTGTTAAAATCTGCCGGTGGGACGAGCAAACGTACTACTCGCTCGCTGAATCTGCGGAGAAGTCGCACCGCAAGTTAATGAAGTTTGTGCGCGATTATGATGCTGTGTTGACTGCGTCCATGCAGACTGTTATTGATGCTTCAACGGACAATGGAATTACAAAGGAAGGTGGTTTTGTTGGGATCCATTTGACGAAGAAAGAACTTATCGACCTCAACGACGCTGTTGTGGTCCCAGTTGACGTTAAGCAGGATAATGAACAAGACCATGGGGAAGTTTCAGTTGAGGGAGAGACTACTGAGCGTGCGAAGCTCAAAAGTAAGGTGCTAGTAGAAGAGGAACTGCAGGGTTGCGAGAGACCACCTGTGTTACGATTGCTACATACAAGCTCGCATTATGTCGTCACAAGCGAAGATAGTTCCTTGCTTCCAATGCCTGCGTATGCAACGAAACTTCCAGCGCTCTCGAAGCGAATTACGAAATATACCCTGGAGCACATTTTATCGCATAATCAAGTGCAGCACCGCCAGCAGGTGCACGTCTTGTGTGAGGATCTTTGTGAAACTATTTTCTACCGGATTTTGAAACTCCAGAAAGCAACGGGACTGCCAAAGGGTGCAAAGAAGAAAGCATTAATTGATCTTCTTAGAGAGCTGAAGACCCAGGGCATGGCATATCACCGACTGCAGCTGCCGGCTGAGCAACAACAGATTCAGCGATTGTTTGAGTTGGATGTGCCTGATGTGGAAAACTGTCTCCATGTTGACCAATTTGATTCTGCGGTGGATTCCAAAAGCCTGCCGACTTCTTTTGCTTCGACTGCAGCATATGTCAGCGGAAAGCAAAGCAAGCCTAAGTGGCGTAAGACAAAGAGCAAAGAGACTGGATACATGCAGCCGGCTGAGTTATCAGAAGAAGTTGTGACCAAGAATTCACCGATGTGGTTGTGGCAGCGAGCCGACGGGTACTATTACCGGTTCCTAGGCCAACTGGCATCATTGCGGTATAGCGCAATGACAAGCTTTTCGCATGATCTGTCGTCAAGCGAAGTTGAGCGCATGAGTGGTTACGCGGAAAACATGTTGCATACAATGCTGCAGCAGCGACAAATCCTTCATACTACTTCACTCAGTCACGAAAAGCTTGTCGATGGATTAACGTCGCTGGAGTTGATGAAGGAGTTCAAGAAGAACTACCTTGTTTCTGGTAAAATGGTTGTCAATCCAAAAACTGCGAATGAATGGCAGTCATTCCAGCTTGCATCTGTCAATGCATTGCGCCCTCGTCTGCGCGAGCTTGAAATATCATTATTACAGATACTACAGCAGTCGTCGGAGACCACGTTGGTATTAACGGAAGTTTGTGATCAGTTCCAGCGTATTACTGAGCGATGTAATGCCATTCAGAAGTCATTTGCTGAAAGTGGTGGGCTGACCCGGTCGCTTGGTGTGCCCTCGATCCCGTATTGTGCTGTGAACGCCAGCGAGGATGCAGGCGGTGATACCGGTATTGTGGCCTTTGCTCGACCATCAAAACGTATATATGGTGTGTCCCCAATTGTATCATGCGTTGAATCGTCATCAGATGTCTCGCGAAGTGTTCCTTTGGCAACTGCTATGCTTCAAGCTAATAGTGCTCACTTCAGCGCGATTCAATCTCTTTTGGCGAAGATTGGATCAGCACTTGGAACAGTGACGATACCAAGCTGCTTTAATGAATTTCTTGCTGAGTATGCTGATATTATTTGCGTCGATAGTAAATTTGAGCGGACACTACGCTTCCCTCTCTCGTCACGTGGCGACTGTAAAGCTTACGAGTATGAAAGCACGCAATCAATGGCAACTTTTAGTGAAATTTACGACAGGCTCGTTGAGACAGTGCTGGTATCAATCCAAGATCTGACCAAACTATCTACGGAGACTGAATCAACGCCAACTCAAAATACAGCAAAGGAAGCAGATGGCGAGGCTCAATCGCTTCGGAATCAACTAGCCACGCTGTCTACGATGGTGAAGGACTTGCGCGTGAACTCTATCGCGTCGCAGCTTGCCAAGTTACTGGAACTGTTGCATCGTCAGTACGACCAGTTTGTAAGCACTCAGTCGGAGGAGTGGAAGCAAGTATTTACTACGTCGATAACGCTTCTGGAGCGCTTTGAGCCGACCCTGATCGATGTCCGTGGTATTAGCCGGCAGCTATTCGTCGACTTCTTAGTGGCACACAAGAGTGTGATGAAACTTGATTACGTTCTTGTGCGAATCTTTCGTAACTTGTTCCAGCACGGCTTTTGCCGTACGGACGAGGAGAGGAATAATGAAGAAGGTGACAGTGATTCGAGAAAAATGCAGTTTCAGGACGACGTGGAAGGAACTGGTATGGGCGAAGGCGACGGAAAGAAGGACGTGAGCCATGAAATCAAAGATGAGGAGCAACTTTTGGGCTTACAGGGAGACCAACAAGATGCGCCAGATCCATCAGCTAACGAGCAACCTGAAGATACGGGCTTCGAAATGCAGAATGACTTTGAAGGTGCGATGCAGAACGCGCCTGACAACGGGAAGGAGGAAGATCAGGACGATAATGAGGACGAGGAAGAGCTTGACCGTGAAATGGGTGAGTTTGACCAAGACGATGAGAATGTGGTGGATGAGAAGATGTGGGGCGAGGACTCGGATGACGATGATGATAATATTGACAAGGAGAAGGAGAAGTTTGAAGAAGACTCAAACGTTAGAGGCGAAACGTTAGAAGACGAAGTGCGAGGTAAGGAGGGCGACGAGAAAGGAAATAACGACTCAGACAAGGAAGAAAAGGACGAGCAGAAGCCGCAACTGAATCCGTCGGATGATACTTGTGCCAATGACGATGATGATGGTGGAGAAGACGAAACGATGGATGGGGACATCAATGACGACTTCGAGGATCAGTACGAAGATTATCATGACGTCGACCCTACAGAGCGCGAAGATGGTCGCGGAGAGGGTGAAACTGAGGAAAATCATGGTGACGAGCTTCCCGAAGATATGCAAATTGACAACGACGAGGATGATGAGGACGACGGCTGTGATGCCGACGGAGACGACTTAAATGATGAAAACATGGAAAAGCAGAATGATCCGGCCGACGAAGCGGCTGATGATGACGCGGGTGGGAAAGACATAGCTAGTGCCGAGAACAAGGAGAGCGCCGAAGAAGATAGCGAGAATGAACAGCCCGACAAAGCGGTTCAGCTCGGAGGTGGCGGTCTTGAAGATGAGCCAGAATTTATTGAGGAGAACATTGAGGAAGACGCCGAACAGCCAGACGTTCCTGAGAGTACCGAGGAGGAGGAGCAGGCAACTTCTAAGGTTGCTGGCACTCAGTCAAAGGATGGCCAGGATGAATTAGATACGGATAAGCGGGAGATGCAGGACCAGAAAATGGAGGACGCCAATCCTCCGGAACAGGAACAGAGCAACGACGACATCAGTAGTACCCGTGCGCAGAATCAACGCAGCAGCAACGACCAGGAGCTAGAATGGAAGCCGCAATCGGAGGTTGATAAAGATCTGGACCAAGAACCTCATCGCGAGACACGTCGCGATCGCCGTGAGCCAAATCCGTATCGGAATGCCCAGGAAGCGCAGGATCACTGGAAAAAACGCGTGGAGATGGTTGATCGCACAGAGGAGGAAAAGGCGGCCGACGAAAACAGCTCCGCGAAGCAGGAGAAGGCTAGTGATATGACGACAGCGGAATTTGTTGATGACGATGAGGAAATGGTGGATGTAGAACACGCATTGGCTGCTGCCAATGAGAACCAAATGATGACTCAGCCTCGATCTGAGGAGGAGAAAAGCAATGCTGGTGAGGAGGAAGACGAGATGAACCTTAGAACTGAAGCGACAGCTCCAGAAGTTGAAGAGAAGAAGGCGAAGGAATCAACTGACGAACAGGAGCAAAAGAATATGTGCAAGCCTATTAAGCAAGAGCTCAAACCTGACACGGATGCAGCTGACGATAACGTGACGAAGCAGGAGCAGCTGGATAAACAGGAGGCAAAGCCGAAGAATTTTACCGAAGACGGAGACCACGAGCTTTTGGACGACGAAACAGACCATGCGCTCCCATCAAGATTGCGGGACCTTGATCTAACCACCTCTATGCATGACAAAGTAAAGGGCGATGAGACGGAGGCTAGTACGGTGACACAGCTGTCTCCGGAAGAGGCTGCTGCGTTGCGTGATGAGCTGGATTCTTTCATTGCTAAGTGGTCCTCACAGTCGGAGCAGGAACGCGGTGCAGAGTTGTGGGCTAAGTATACTACTTTGACTGCTGGTGCGTCGCAGCGCCTGTGCGAGCAGCTTAGGCTAGTGTTGGAACCGATGCTTCGTGCTAAGCTGGAGGGCGACTTCCGCACGGGCAAGCGCATTAACATGCGCAAGGTGATTCCGTACATCGCGAGCCAGTTCCGCAAGGACAAAATCTGGTTGCGGCGTACACGACCGTCCAAACGTCAGTACCAGGTTATGCTGGCAATTGACGACTCTGAGTCCATGGCGGACAGTCATGCTGGTCACTTAGCACTGGAAGCACTTGCCACCCTCTGCAAGGCCATGACACAGCTTGAGGTCGGTGAGCTGTCTGTTGTCAAGTTTGGGCAGGATGTGGAGCTGCTGCACGCTTTTGACATGCCCTTCACGGATGATGTTGGCAGTCGTCTTATTGGCCGCTTTGGCTTCCAGCAAAAGAAGACCAACATGGTACAGACACTGGACACGATCTTGCAGCTACTCGAGACGGCCAAGCAGTTGTCTTCAGCTACCAGCAGCGCAGTCGAGTTCACGCAGATCGTGTTTCTCATCTCAGATGGCCGCTTTGATTCGGATGGTCGTGTGCGTATCCGCAAACTGATCGAGACAGCACTGGAGCGCCAGCAGCTCATCGTTTTGCTCATTGTGGACCAAGGCGCAGCCGAGAATTCAAGTAATCAGCAGCAGACATCCATCTTGGACACGCAAAGCGTCACGTTTGACAAGGGCAAGGTCCGCATGGTGCCGTATCTGGAGAACTATCCCTTTCCATACTATGTGTTGTTGCCTGTATCTACGATGCTACCAGAGATCCTGTCTGACTCACTCCGTCAATGGTTCGAGATGCTACAGGCCAAAAACTAAGAGATATTTGAGATATTATTTGATCATTCAATGAATAAATACTAAGTTTTAGTCGGTAAGGTTATTACTCTTGTAGTATACTACTAGGCCTCAATCGCAAAAGTTCTCATACTACTACTATTTAGCCATCGCTCTAAATTTTAGATCACATCTCGTGCTACAGACTTTATGTGTTCCACATCCATATCGTAGATTCGGTAGTTTCCCACAAGAATGTCATCCAACTTGAAACCTGACGAGCAGCGCGTCGATTTTCCGCGCTGCGTCGAGTGTGGTGGCTATGGTATGGGACTTGTCATGAACGCACAGAAGCTCTGTACACACTGTGCACGCATTAAAAAGGTCTTTTTTGACCCAGATAGTAATAAATTCTGTCGTGATGAAGGCTTTATTGACATTTCACCAAGAGCCGACGGTGGTGTATTGAAAAAGGTAAGAATTTCTATAAAATAATTGCAAGAATAATTTTTTTAGTGTATTTTTACAAATGATGACAATTAATTGCTATTATTTTTGTACAGATTGTTCGTGAAGGAAAAGCAAGTATACAAAAGCTGGAAGAAGGCTGTCCGACAATTGGTACGAGACGCAGTAACGACGAAAGAGATGATAATGATGGTGGCTATTATTGTTGACATTGTAATTGTTTGACATAGTGCATTATGTTGGCCGGTTAATGGATGGCTCTATATTTGACACAACGTGCGTACTAGTGCCATAATTATGTAATTATGTAATTATATAATTGCTACATTAATTAATTGTTATACCAATCAACTTGATACTTATTTCTTCTTCTTTTCTTCCCAGACGTGATATGTTGGATGGAAAATATGTCGGTGGAACAGATGATCCATTCGAATTTCAATTGGGTCGAGGTGAGAAAATGATAATGTTGCTGGAATAAAAAACTAGAGAGAGACAAGACTCAGGGGAAAATGACCATGTGATGGATGAATTATATAGAAAAAGTGATCAAGGGCTGGGATATTGGTGTTGCTACGATGAATGTAGGTGAAGTGGCACGATTTATCATTGCTCCAGAATATGGATACGGTCATAAGGGGTTTGCACCAAAAGTAGAACCTAACGAGACTCTTGACTTTGAAATTGAGTTGATCAGTTTTAAAGTAAGTGACTTTACCATTTTTTGCTTCATGTTGTATATATTCAAGTTGATGTAGATTGATGATGATGGATTATGTTTTGTTTTTCTTTTTGTATGTATGATACAGGACCCCCTGCCTCGCTTTCCTACTCAAGCTGAACTTGCAGAATCTCGCAAAAAGCAGCATGAAGAGGATTTGAAATTACTGGAGGAAAACCCGCCGCCTACGGTTGGTACGTTTGGTGAAGGATCGTTTTTTGGACGAAAATAGCAAATACTAATCTCTGTCTTGTGCTAGATGAACGTATTGAAAGCGCACTGGAACAGAAGGAAAAGGGCAATGCTTTGATCGCTAAACAAGATTACGATCAGGCTCAGAAATGCTACGACTCGGTATGTTCATCAAGTTACTATCGTCGATGCTACATTGGTGTTATGCTTACGATCGTTTTGTTTGGTCAAAGGGGTTTGTTCACATATTTTACTCCAAGGAAGAGTGGGAGAACTTTTTGTCCCAAGAAGACAAAGACAAAGTTAACAAGGTAAAATTGCTGCTCTATCTTAACCGAGCGCTGTGTAAGATCAAGCTTGCAAAGATTGAGGATGCGCTTTGGGATTGCGACCAGGTAGGTGTTTGCTTTAAGCAAGATTCGGATTCTGTTTTCCAACTAGTTTGTATTGGTGCAGGCAATACTTCTTGATCCGAACAACAGCAAGGGTCACTTCCGTCGAGGCCTTGTGTTCACAGAAAAACTGAAGAACGAGTTGGAAAAGGAAAAGAATGGCGAGTTCTGGATTGTTGACAAGGGTTTTGAGTATTTATCGGAGGCTGCAAAAAGTTTTGACAAGGCGAAGGAGCTTATCGGCGACGCTAACGACCATAAACTACTACACGCCCTAGCCGACCTTAAGCGAAGTCAAGTGCGTACCGCTTTTGAAGATAAGTGTTGGATGTTTTTTACCTGTTTATTTATCTCATGTGCGCAGACGTTGTTAAACAAGTACGCGGCCAAGTACAAAGAGGACGAGAAAAAGTTGTACAAGGAAAAAATCTTTGACCGTTTGGAGGCCAAGAATAAGGAGCTTGAGAAGCAGGAAAAGCTAAGAGCGGAGGCCGAGGAGTTTGATGATATGCCTGCGCTTGAATAAGTTCCAATTTACTACTGACCTGACTGCGTTAGACTGTGATCTGCATCGCCTACGTAAGAATTTGAATTCTAAATCCCAGTGATTGTTTTTCGTTTGTCACTTTCTTAGATTCTGAAGCGCTAGCAGCCAAGTCTTTCGACAAGATTGCAATCTACAGACCATGCTCGTCATCAGACTCGATATCGCCGTACTGCCACATACAAAGACGCTGCTTCTTTGCGAATTCCTGTGCGTTAAGCAGACCATCGACGACAGGCTTCTGATGAGCCAGGGCGGCGCGGAGCTCTTTGCGGTCGATGCGCAGTAGACCAGCTTCTACTAAGCTTTCCGAGACACTCTTGCCCCTCGGCAGATAAAGGGAGACCTGCATACAACCGTGGTCAGTCGTGCCGTGAACACGGCAGGAAAGAGTCTTTCCCCATGCGACTTCACCGAGACGCATAGCAGCGTCAGATCCAAACTCCTCCGTAGCCGCCAACGGCTTAATCCAGGCAAACACGGCTTCCTTGGCCTGAGGAGGAAACTGCACTACATCAGCGTCAAGCGGACGCAGACGGTTGGCCGTCACAGTTGTTCCGTTACCGTAGTCAAGAAAGCGAACCCGAGCAGATCCGTCCGGGTGAACGTACTCTACCTTGGCACGGTTCCAGGCAGGTCCATCGCCATCATCAAAGAGGGCAGCACACACAGTGTTACGGCGCACCTCGAAGGCCTTGCCAGACAGTCCGTGCGTACGCGTGAATGCTTTCATTTTCTCCTCCACAGCGGCACAGTTGCGATCTCCTACATTCTGAATGTAAAAGTGAGTGCCGCTTATTATTTCCGAAAGCTTCACACGCGGGATCACGTCATCCTTTGTCTTCACCTGCTTTTCCTGGGCAGCCTTTGCCGCAGCTTCAGCGCCATATAAGGCCCAGTACTTTTTTTTCTGCGCTTTAGCACGCTCTTCTGCAAGCTGAAGCACGTTGCCCATTGCGGTACGATCAACACTGAAGGAGTCTACCCATGCAAGACCTTCATCGAGCAGACGTACGCCAAAGTTGTACTGATCATCGCGCGAAGGCTTCCCACCGCCATTAGGGATCACGAACAAAGGACCAAAAGCGTTACCACCGCGGTCCATGTCCTCGATTTCCACCATCACCTCGCGTTGCATAACGCCACGCTTCGTAAATAGCTTCGCCTCCTCACCAAGATGCTCTGCGGGCGCCACAATTACACCCTGAGCTCCATGACGGGCAGGTTGCGGACACTTGATACCGGCAATTACAAAGTTTAATTGACAGTTTTCCTTGCGGATAAAAAGCTTCAAACGTGTGGCCGAGTACACGTGTTCCACCACAGCGCGCGTCGAACGTTCACGCGTTAGAAAAGGCAAAAACTGCTTGGCTTTTGTAAAATCGAAACACAGATCAGTCACACGACGCTCGGTAGCCGGAGGTTCTTTTGTGGAGTATAAGTTCTTCTTCTGCGTCTGGGCCTTCGCCTCCGCCGTCACAAGGTCGTCATAGTATTCACTTTTTTCCTCGTCGGGACGATGTCGCACCACTTCAGCCAGCCCGGCGGTAACAATATCAATAGCAAGGTTTGCCCCCTTTGCTTGTGGGTTCTTCTTCATCGCGTTTGCCGACGGCTCGAGAAATACCGAAGCAAACAACATTACGTCTCCCTGACCTGACGGGTTAGCTTTCTCATACTCAACCTCAATACGCACGGCTTTCGCAATGGCACGGTGGCGTAGAAATTCCTTCGCCTCCACCGCGTACGGCGCATCAGACTCCCCACGACGACTATTGCCAAGACGCGGCGCACGTAGCGAACTCAAATAAACGCGCTTCTCTTGTTCAGCCGGGGTTGCTGCATCAGGAATGTAGACTACGAGGCAGTCACCACTGATGATCTCAACCACTGTACCAGTCAGATGCTTGGGAGAATGCAGCACTGGTGGCTCGAATTCCTGCCACACACGTAACCTTTGCTGCTTGGCCTCCTTCTCTGCTGTGCGCATAGCAGCACGAGCCGCTGCACTGGTAAACGACGAGCTCCAATCGACCATACGTCCTAGTCCATTTTTTAGTAGTTCAACACTAATATTGTTTCCAGATGGATGCACGACACTACCATATAGATTGCCAAACTTATCGATACCCTCGAGCTTTAGTTCAACATCACGATGCAACAGTCGCACTTCTGTAAAATGTTTTGCTTCTCGTGCATAAGGTGCTGAACCCGTCGACGTTATCGTTGTTGTCGTCGTCGTTGACGTATTTTCTTCTTCTTCACTCATAGCAGCATTTATTACTGCATTGACACGTGGACATTGTACACCAGCAAGTCCAAAATTCACCAATTGTAACATTGGTTTTAAAATCACTCGAAGAAATGCTCCATCTCGTACTGCTTCCACAAGTGCTGGAAGAAGTTTTCCTTTATATTCTTCCATCAAAGCGTCACCATTTGCACCTTGCCATTGCACACTCTTCTTCCCCTCCAGTGTCATTTCCTCACTGTACATGCCTTTTTTCTCTTGCTTTGCTACTTGTTCTGCTTGATCCAGTTTCTCATAGTTTACACCCTTTTGATTCCGTCGATGCTGTAAATCCACAACCTTGGCATACCCACTTTCAACTTGATATCGAGCCAAATTTACTTCAGTATCCTGTTGTAATAACCAGACAGAGCCAAAGTCACGATTGACTGAAGTAGCACGATAGTCCACTTGAAAACGAATACTTTTGCCAATACAAAAGCAACGTAAATGTTCACGACTTGCATATGCGTAGGCTTCATTCGTTTGTTCAGATGAACGTGCAAGACGTGGTGCTTGAATAGACGATAGAGTCAAGGTTAATTCAGGTGGTGGACCACCCCTTGTGGTCGCTTTCCCCATGAGAATTAAGGTATCACCGGATAGAACCGCTTTTACAGTACCATATCCTGATGCCATTTTTTTAATGACCTGTGAAATTTAATACTCCACGCACTTGTTACTTTTACTGCAACTTGAGTTTTGAAAAATTGACACGTACCGAAAGAAAAAAAACCAGGGAGTTGTGTATGACACATGAGATTGAAACAACTACTTCACAAAAAAACTTTAATATCGATTATCGAAGGGTTTTTATATTAAAATCTTGAGATACTTATCATAAATAATATGTGAATATAAAATGATGTAAAACACATGATATGGAACTTGAAAGTAGTAGTGCGTTTCAATTGCAAGGACATACATTTGCATGCATTATTATTGTTATGTATACTACTAACATATTGCATGTTAGCCTTATTCTACTACGTATTTATTACATTGTAGACAAATTTATTTCTTTCTTACGTCTTTTTTCATAACGTAACCAATAGTTTACCCAATTTGTTTCAGATTTTCATTACAACTAGACAATATATTATATTACTAACCAATCAGTATCCAATGTCATTCTCACTCCACCAATCAACAACTAGTGAAACCGCTCTCAGAATGATGGTCTTTTAAAGAAAGAAAAAAAAGAAAGAAAAAGAAAGAAAAAAACCGACAAAATTAAATAAAAAAGAAATAAAAGAGTGCGCACTTGAATAAAAAACCCATACAAAAAAGTCTAAAGGAAACAACTCGTGAGATCTCTTGCGTGCTCAAGCTGTCGTCTATCATTAAGGTTACGGCGTTTCTTACCTCTCAGTATTCATCTCCTTTCTATTTCACTCGTTGTAATACCGTAAGTAAAATATTTGCTTTCTCCCCCTTTTTCTTTATTGTTATTTATATTTATATGATTTAATTTATCTTTTTTATTGTAATTTATATTCAATACAATCGATAATAAATTACAGACGATAGAGGAGAGACTCTTTCTACTAAAACACTGTTGTATCTACTACTACTACTACAAGACCAAGTACTCGTCCTCCAACAATCATATTAATACTAGTGAATGGATACAAGATCTTCTTCATCAGCTACTCGTGTATCAGATTCCACGCCTTTAAAAAAATACCGAGCGACAAACGGAAGTAAGAAGAACTCACAAAGTACGAAACCAGTGCAAGTAATTGGAGTAATTAAAACCAAGCAAGAGAAGACAAACGAGACTGTAAAAGCACTGCAAGTGTGTGTGCGAGAAGACAAGGAGAATCCCAATTTAACTGCAATGGGAGGCACATTACGGTCGCAATCTCTTGAGTGCAATTTTGAGACAACGACGTCCATGAAGAATGTAAACGAAGAAGAGAAAATGGAAAGTTCGGCAGTGGTTACTGCTATGGCTGCTGCTGGTGCTACTGCTACTGCTATGGCTGCTACTGGTGCTACTGCTACTGCTATGGCTGCTACTGGTGACGCTGTAGTAATGGAAGAGAAGCACAAGATGAATGTCTCGGCTATCAAGCATGAGGAGGTGATACGACCTGTTGTAGTCCAAGACCACAAACCTCATGCTCTTCCTTTTGTCAAGACGGGAGAGAATAGTTTTGGACGACTTGTTGTGGCTGCACCTTTTGGTATTATCGAGATGTAATTTGATGCTATAGTATTGTAATGAAATGTGTGCTAACAATAATGTGGTGTGTTTTCTGGCAAGGTGTTTTGACAGTTGGAAAGCGAAAACGAGAGGAGGAAAGTGAAGTGATTGGCATGTCAGATTTTGTAGCTTATGCTAGAGAACATATTCATAGTCAAGAAGCAGGAGAAGAGGGTTTCTCCATTGATCCGTCTGAACGCGCAGTAGAGCACCGTGCTAGTAAGGTGGTGCGTCGCGAAATATTGATTGCGTCACCAGCTGCAAATGACGAGGACGATTGGGAAGGCGGCAACAGATCCCTGAAAGTCAAACTGAATGAGGTCGAAGCGGTGCTGACACCATCGGAGCACTTTGACTTGCAGCCCATTGACATTATCTTACACGTGTTTTCTTTTTTGGTCACCGCGAAAGACCTACAAAGTATGGCACAAGTATCGATGAAGTGGAAAGAGCTGACCAGTCGACGATCATTGTATCGATCACTTCTAAGTGTAACACCTGAAGGATCGGTAAACTGGATCAACTTTACGAATTTGGGCATTAAGAACAAGGGGACCGAGGGAACCTGTATTAAATGCTGTCAGCGCTCGACTGGCAAGATGTTGGCTATGAAGAAGGCCAGAGTATTCCCAAAGGTAAATGTGTTGTAGTGATAGCATTTATCATACGTCGCACTGACAATGACGCTGTTGTTGTTTGCTGCGATGATAATAGGGAGAGGGGGTACCATATTATATGCTTAGAGAGTTAGCTGTTCTGAAAGGAATCAAGCACGATCACATTGCATCTCTTGAACTCATTAGCCTTGCCAAAGACGAACTACATGTGTTTTTTCCTTACGTGGACAAAACGTTACATGAAGTTATTAACCCGACGGGGGATCCTATGGGCGGCCGTGTGTTGCCAGAGGCTGTGGTAAGTAAAACGCGGTTTATCGTCTTCTCTTGAGGTGCAACTGGCATTCTTACCTTGTAACATTGGCAACAGATTCGCAAGCTTCTCCACCAGCTTCTTGATGCAATCGCGTACTGCCACCGCCGTGGAGTCTTACACCGTAATCTAAAGCCAAAGCATTTGCTGATTAAGACGTCTGACGCTGCAAACCTGAGTAAGATGTCATAAGGACTTGATATATGCGTGTACGTACGCATACGCCACTAAATTGTTCACTTATGCCATAAATGTTCTCTCACCTTTAGGTGACGCAACACTACAAATATCGGACTTTGCGCTCGTCCGAGCAACGGGAATTCCTCGCCGAACTTACACGATGGAGGTAGTTACGTTGTGGTACCGCCCCCCAGAAATCTTAATGGGAGTGCGCGGCTACTCTTCGGCTGTTGACATTTGGTCTGTTGGCTGTATCTTTGCTGAGATGGCCCAAGGCAAGCCGCTTTTTACTGGCATATCTGAGATTGACCAGCTATTCCAAATTTTTAGCAAGTTGTCGACACCAACGTCGGAGACATGGCCAGGTTTTTCATCGTTGCCAAATTACCACTTTGATTTTCCGCACTGGAAACGTCGACCCTTAAATCGCCTGTTTCCAAAGATCTCGGATCTTGGTATCGATCTATTGACGAAGCTCCTCGTGTACAATCCCGACCAGCGAATTTCAGCTGAAGACGCGCTTCGTCACCCGTATTTCTCTAACACGACTCCTGGATTCTCATCTCTTACACCTAAAATTCCAATGGACCAAATGTGCTACACAATGAGTCGAGCACGAGTTGGTCCTACGCCAGAGCATGTGGAGTTGTTCCACGCTTACTTGCGTCAAACGGAATTGGAGTCGTGGAAGGAAATTAAATATTTGAGGTACGTGGCAGCATATTTGGCTACGAGATATTGTATGAGATTATTAACTTTGTGGAACGTCGATTTTTGGTATGTAGCCGGCAAAAGACTCTTCGACCAGCCCACCGATCGATGCTTGTCGATTGGCTGATTGAAGGTACGCTTTGATTACTCTCGTCATGTGCCTGTGACTGGTGGCTGACGTCATATATTGCACTTGCACACATTAGTTGTAGACGTGTTTGAGATGTGCCTGAGAACAGCGTTTCTGGCGGTCAATTATACCGACCGATATTTGGACATCGTTATGGTAAAAAAGACTCAGTTTCAACTGCTTGGAGCGACATGTTTGCACGTTGCATCCAAGTGCGAGGATGTATCCTATATTGGTGTAGAAGATCTTGCAATGTGTGCTGATAACGTATACACGTCCGTGGAAGTGTTGGAGATGGAAGAAAAATTGTTGAATACCCTCAACTTTACACTCTCGGTACCCACTGGTACGTTCTCATAACTCGGTGACTGATGAGTCGATCTACATTAACCTGCATACTTGTTGTGTTCGCAGCTTTGGATTTCTTGAATATTTACGAGCGTATGATTCCGCCTATTCAGAAAAAGACGTCGATGCTGGCACACTACTTGCTTGAGTTGGCGTTGCAAGAGTACCAGTTCTTGAAGTATTTGCCATCGGTAGTTGCTGCATGCTGCCTCTCGATGGCAATGTACACAATGGATGGATTTCCGATGGTAAATGTTGCTTGATGCATGCGTCTGGTTTTGCGTTGTTTGCTAACGTGGCATGGTTTGTGGTCTGTAGACAAAAGAGCTGGTGGATGCATGCCAATACAATTGGTCAAACCTGAAAGAGTGTATGGGAGAGCTTCAGACGCTGTACTTTAACTCTCCATCAAACAACTTGGCGGTGATTAAGAAGCGCTACTCAAAGGCTGAGCGGTGCCAGGTGGCGAATGTACTCCCGCCAGCATCATACAATATGGCATTTTAGTTGGTCTATATTTGTGGGCTACATATTTAGAGCTTCGGTCTCTGGGTCGCAGGTGTAGTAACGTTACTGGCATTTTCAACGAATGTTCAGACAGCAAGACATGCTCGCCAACCCTCAGATAAGGAGGAAACACAATACAACGTAACAAAGGCAGAAAGAAGTACATGCAGACACTTTACACAGACAGAGTGAGTTTTCAACACGTTGCAAATAAAGAGTCATGGCGCAAAGTTTCGTCGATAACAAAAGGTGTGCACGAAGTTACATGGTGATCTTTTCATCTTCACTACTAATGTCACTGCCAATACCTTCGCTTGAGGTAGCATTGGACTCCTCCTCCTTGTCAATCACTTCAATGGTAGAATCCACATTAGCGATTTCCACAGCCCCAACCGATTTAAAAAGTATGTGACGCAACTTTCCTTCAAGATCCATCGCAATTTCAGGATTCTTCTGCAGGAACAACTTGGCCTTCGCCTTGCCTTGAGCAATTGGTTCTACAAACGAGTGCATTGTACAGTGTGAGCATTTCCAATAGATCAAGATCAGATACTTTACAGCCGCAACAGAAATCTCACCTTCGCTACCAGCAAGACTGTACCACGCGCCCGAACGCTTCAACAAACCATGCTGGACACCCAACTCCAGCTACACAGTTCACGGATGTAAGTTATCTCATATCGTTCACACAAACGAATAAACAGAAACCTGTTCATACCAGCTCTGACTGGCGATCGATTCCGTGCCCAAACATCATGTCAAAGTTTGCAACCTTGAAAGGTGAGGCCAACTTGTTCTTGGCCACCTTAACGACCGTCTCGTTACCAACAACCCGGTCTCCCTCCTTAATGGCCGTCTTGCGTCGAATATCCAATCGCACTGACGCATAATAGCGCAATGCGGTGCCACCCGACGTGACCTCGGGAGATCCAAAAATAATGCCCACCTTTTGCCGAATCTGGTTGAGGAAAATAATCGTACAGTTGGATTTAGAGAGCGAGCCAGTCAGCTTTCGCAAGGCCTGACTCATGAGTCGCGCTTGCAAAGCAATCTGCTGATCTCCCATTTCACCCTCTAGCTCCGCTCGTGGTACAAGTGCAGCAACACTGTCAAGTACAACAAGATCCACTGCTCCAGATCGTATAAGCGTATCAGCAATTTCCAATGCTTCTTCACCAGAGTCTGGTTGTGAAACGTATAGCGCATCAATATCAACACCTAGAGCCTTGGCGTAATGAGCATCAATTGCATGTTCCGCATCAATAAAGGCACAGACTCCACTCTCCGTTTTTTGAGCTTGAGCAATACAACTCAATGCCAACGTTGTTTTGCCAGAGCTTTCGGGACCATAAATCTCCACCACTCGTCTACCAACCACGAACGAAGAAAAATTGTCAAAAGTTGTAGTCCATTTTTTTAACACTTGTAGAGATAGATATCACGCACCCTCTTGGGATGCCACCGATACCAAGAGCTAAATCCAACGATAATGATCCGGATGAAATTACATCCACACGTTCGGCAATTTTTCTACCTCAAACAGCACACACAGAAACAAAACAAGGAATGACTCATCTCAATACTTTTGTCGCAATACCTTGTAACTTTTCACAGGAATCTCGTACGTCGATCCCAATTGCATGACTGCACCCTTTCCAAAGCTGCTTTCAATCTGTCGAATCGCCATTGTTAGTGCTGCACTCCGATCTGCTTTAAACAAACAAAGTATCAATACTTGGTTGACATGTTCAGATGTATCAAGTATCAGAGGGTCGTACCAGAGCCACCATGCGCAGATTTTGCAGCTGAACGTTTGAAGCGCACACATGATCGATATGGAGAACAAGACGTTGCTCTTGCGACTGGCAGACGCGTTGTAGACTGCTTTCGAGCGACAAGTTCCATGCCACATCGAGCCAACATTTTATCACGAATGCCAGTCAAAATGGCAGAAAATGACTCTGGTTATTGATAATGTCACTCAAGTGAAAATATCTCGTTTGGGTGTGTTTGACATATTTTGATCCTTAAAAATGACGTCTTGTCCAGTGTCAAAGTCCCGACCTGTTCTTAGTACTACACGACGTAGTAATCAAGGAGGTGTAGCCATGTCATTAGAACTACGTCCACCACGTGAATTGCTGGCTAAAATTGGTCTTAGTGGAAAAGAAGTGGTAAAAATCATTAAAGCTCGGGGGTGGGAGATTGTTGAGCCCCATGGATTACAACAACAAAATTTATATTACATTCCAGGGGTAAATGATAATAAGACAACTCAAATGAAACAGAACGAAACATTTTTTGTGGGAGAGGGTGAATTGTATGCATTTATTCTACAAAAGGGTGGATTACGGTACTTGTTGCCCGATGAAGAATTGTCGGATCTAGAACCAAGCATACAGTCGGACGTGGAACCGACTCAGTCGGACGAACGTTATGGAGAAACGATACAGGATGATCATGAAAGTGATGACCATGAAACAACCGACGACCAGCTACTGGGCAATTCATCATCCGATCGTCGGAAATGGAAAAGACGGAAGAGATTGTCGACGGCGAGAAAGAGATCGACGGAAGTGGTTGAGACGACAATAGTTGATCGCCTGCCGTCGCCACCTTTGAAAAGACGACGACGAGGTTTTGCGAAACAGAGCGTAAAAATGTCAGAAGATAAAGAAATGAATCAAGATTGGAAGGAGGTTCAAGTGCGTCCACGAGCCAAGTTTGAACACGTTTCGTATACTGGAATTGAACAAGAAAAGGAATTTACAATGTATCAAAAGTCACTAAAAGCACGAGGATGGAGAGCTCAATTGTTGCAAGATATTGATGTGCATTTACTGCGATCTACTGCCGATGTGGATCGTTTACAACGAGCACGAAAAATGTTGACGGATGGAAAGAGAAAAAGTACTCGACCAAGTGACGAGGATGACAGTGGTCCGCATGTTGTAGATGCTGCCGAGATTCGACATGAAATTGAGGCACTAATGAACAGCATACGCGTATCGCAAGGCGATCTGTCGTCGATGATTGAGATGATTATTTCAAACGGAGAACAGCGAACACTTCCAGATCGAATTGACGTTGTCGGTCGGATTGGAATCTCACGATTTGTGTCCACGGGTCAAGGCAGTCTAATTCTGATACGAGATATTGAGCGCTATATGCTTCTCTTTGTTGCAGCTGTGCGGCGATACCAACGCTCGAGGGAAGCAGTTTGTGCGAGTGAGCGTGCAAGTGGGCCGTGTGTACGATCCATTCGAGCTGTGAAACGAGAAGAGTTGCGGGCGCTGCAATTAGGCATTGAAGACTCGAAAAAAGAGCTATATGAGTTAGCTGCCATCGTTGCCGCAGACTTCACGAAGTTCGAGGACGCTCCAGAGGATTCCATACGGGAGGACACGGATTTGAGTATCTGTCAAAGGACTTATCAGATCTCTTCGCAGGGGTCGTCACCGAGTTCGTCGAAAATTGTACGTGCGTTCTCTTTTGGCAGATGTGAGGGTACTCAAATTACTGAGTTGGCCCACTTGAGCTCGTAATCTAACTCGTTGTCCGGAATCTACGTGTGCAGACGGACAGTGACGTAAATGTAGACCCTGGCGAGGATCGGTCTTCTAACCACCAAGGTTTGGTCTCTCCTCGGCTTGAGGGAGGTCAGTGGTTTGTATAACGGCCAAACCTTGTGCAACTAGATTGAGTCTAAATTCATATTTGTGCGTTAGGAAATAGAGAACACATCCTGCCATGATATTTGCGGAAAGCATGCACATACTGACGGACATAATGATCTGGCACCGTTTTTGTTATTACACTCGTCACTTCATGCAGATCTTTCCGTCTAAAGCAACGATGTCAGAGCACCAATATCTCCACTAGAGTTACAAAAACCACGTACGAGCCTGTATGTCGCGACGCAGCAAGTGCACAGTCCGTTCCATCACAATCATCAAGCAGTAAACTTTGGAGAGCGACGTACTCTTAAAGCTTCAAGGCTGCCACAAAATGCATATAGAATTTCAAAGCGGGTGAAAAAGCGTGAAATGACCAGAGCCAGCATGGTGCTAAAGGTGAGTAGTGCTTGAACACTCTTCGAAGATGCATAGGCAGTCTGTCTTATTGTTTGTCAACTGATTTTTTAATGGACTGGTTTTCCCAAGGTACAGCCACACCAAAGTAATTTGACAGGTGTGTATGATGGGCCACCCAAGATTCAAAAGGAACATGTCGAGCACTACATCGTGACCTTGGACGACCCCGACCTGGCGGACCAGTTGACCGTGTTACGTTTGGATGATGTGGAAGAACTGGAGGATGTGCTGAAGGCGCGCCAACCGACGAAGGCCCGACGAGGAAAGATGTTGTTCGGGTCGAGCAAGTTTCTCCAGAAAGCACCAATTCCCCTTGGTCGGCCAAGAGAGCTGAATCGCCGCTCTGTCCATGCAGTTCGAGCGACCCAGGAGGGATGAAGCTCCAAAGACTCCAGTTTGGACAGTCCGGATAGTGACGGTGACCTACGGAAGGTCTACCTCATGGCTACGGAGGCGGAGAAGGGCCTAGGGTCAAGGACCCCGAGGGACCGGCCCATCAAAGAGGTCGACCAGCCCCAACCTTCGACCAAGGACCATGGACCCCGCACGTCGTCGGCAACCTCAAATGGAAGATGTGCCCATTGTGGGTCCAGGAAGCATGGAGACTTGGGTTGTTGGAAGAGGCTGACCTGCGATCGCTGTGGGAACAAGGACCATCCATCAGATCGGTGCCTGTTCGTGTGTCGAGGCTGTGGAGAAACCCACGAGGTTGGAAAGTGTCCAATGGAGAGTTTTATAACTTTATCCATCAGTGGTACAACCTGACCAAGCACGCTGGGATGTTGCCGATAAAGTCGAACAAATGCTAAATTAGGACGCTCACCAGGTTTGAATCTGTCACGAGCCGAGCGTTCTAATTGTTGCATCTTTGCATACGTGAAAAAGCAGCCCAAGGGAGGAAGGCGCATTTAGGATAACTCGATGGAAAATATGTCGAAGTTTGAAAGTTACCCTAGGGTCCATGTTGGTTCTTTCAGTGAATCTAACGATTTTGTTCAGGAAAATGCAATGATGGAGTCAAACCTACTGCCGGGAGATTCGAGGGGCATTGAAAATACTATGCTCCTACGAAATGGTTTGGACAAGCCAAGACCTCTGGGAAGATTGACAACGATCGAGCTAACTTGCTGTTTGATACTGGCGCCGAGATATCTATTTTGGATGTCGCCTTTGCTCGTAAGGTAGGCTGCCAGATTGATGAAAGCGAGCGACATGAATGTGTTGGTATCGGGAATCCGTGTATGCCACGGAAGGACGTACCCGCATCAAGGTTACTCTGAACGGGAACTTGGTATACATCTTAAAGGTGTGGGGTGGGCCCGATGGTGGGTCAGGATGCAATATTAGGCATGGACTTCATGGTCCCAGCCGGTATTCGACTAGATCTGAAGGATGGGACACTATGTCTTCCCGATGAGGTTTGAGTCCAGTTAGCAGGACGAATAACTCTTTGCAATAACCGGGTATCAGATGTGAGGTTGGATCGATACATGCAGATACCGGCCGGAAGGGACGCGGAAGTGCCTCTAAAAAGGTCGACCTTGCACCAATGGAAGTTGTGGGTCATAAGAGGAGAACGATGGATCATGACTACGAACTAAGAGGTAGGAAGTCGGAAGTTTCTGAAGGTAACTAATATCAATGCTTAAACTCTTGATACTACACGAGGACACCAATAAAGGTATGTGGCTGACGAAGGACCCAGTACCAAGGGCGCAGGGTTTTGTGTCGGTGGAGTCTCGAAGATATGCCGAGTGGCTAAAACTGGTGTATGAATCTACCACCGACCAAGTCGACTATCAGGAAGACCTGACGGAGAAGGATGAAAGACCACTGGTGGAGGTAACACCGTACAATACTCCATCTGGAATACTTCAGCGGCCAAGGATACTTGTTTCAGTAAGGACTATGGCATTTCAGCCGAAGGTCGACCAGGTGGGGTAGACGGAAGTAGGCGAAGGATTGCTGGTAGAGTCGCCACAAGCGGATGACCAAGTGTGCACGTTCGAAAGTGGGGAACTCTGGGCCGAAGTTGTAAACCAAGAATGGGCTATCATACCAGAGATTGACCCTTTATCTACAAGTATCAAGCTGGAAGATATACAGATTCCTGACTCTGACGGAAACACCCCAGAGGAGGTGGACCGACGGAGACAAATTATATGGAGACGACATCTACTCATGGGAAAGGGCAACGCCTTATCACCGGCTGCTCGAGGGGCTATCTATGACATTGATGTGGGTAATTCCAGGCCGATTGCACAACGTGTACGGAAGGTGGCCCCCCAGTTCAAAGAAATGTTGGCCGATCTGATCAAAAGGCTATTATCTGCGAAGATCATCCAGCTCTACCTCTCCATGGTCCGGAGAAAAATGGGGTGGATATCAGGCTTTGTATTGATTAACGGTTGGTGAATGACTTGACCCAGCTTATGGTCTACCCCATGCCTCTAATCAAAGAATTGTTGGAGGACCTGAACGGAGCATTGTGGTACTGCTCCCTGGATATGGCAAGTAGTTTTTGGGTCGTCGGCATGACCGAAAGGACGAGAAGGATCTCGGCGTTTATCACCTCATTGGGGTTGTTCGAATGGCTACGGATACCATTTGGACTCAAAAACGCGCCTCAGATATACCAGAGACTCTTGGATAATGATCTGTATGGATTCTTACGTATTTCTCAAGGAGCTGGTACAGAGGAGACCGAAGACTTGCTTACGATGGGGAAGCCTGATGTAAAGTTGGGTCCCTCGGTACTGGGTCGGCGATCTTACATGATGACATTTTGATACCGGCCGACTCGTGCGATATGTTGTGCGCAAAGGTTGAGCGGCTATTAAAAAAATGTGTGTGACTATTGGAACCTATCGATCAGCGCGGTCAAGAGCTCATGGGGGTGCCGGAAGGTAGACTATCTTGGGCAGCGGGTCTCGGATCAAGGACTAGAGGCCCACCCAAAGGATCTCCAGTCCCTGGTCGACCTACCATTGCCAACGACACTCAAAGCCATGCAATCGTTTTTTGGAAGTCTAAATTACTATGGTAGATTCATTGAAGATTATGCAGTGTATGCATCGATCCTTTATGAGTTACGGAAGTGGATTTTCACGATTGACGATGTAGGCTGAAGACGAGGGACAGTGGGGTGACTAAGACAGAGGACGAAGGGGAATGATCCAGGGCCTAAGTAGCCTTCGCTATGCTCAGGAAAAAGTTTGCCACAGCACCTATTTTGCGACACTTTGACCCGTCCAAGGATGCGATTATTATCGTCTATGCAAGTGAATGAGCCATATCCGCGTCTTTGGTGCAAGACCATGGTGGCATTTTAATGCCGATGACTTTACGTGTCGGACCCTTAAGACCAACGAGTTGAACTACAATACGGTGGAGAAAGAAGTGCTGGCTTTATTACGGATAATGGAAACTTGTTTTACAATGTTGGTCACTCGACCCTCAAGGTCCTGACGAGGCATTCTACATTGGCGGGGCTAGTCAGGTCTACGGGGTTACAAGGACGTCTTGGAAATTGGGCTTCCCTCTTGTCCCAATAGACTACGGAGATTACCAAATGCAAGAAAGGCGAGGACCAAGTACTGGGGGAGATCGCAGCCAGTACTACTCCTCGTAAAAGTGTGAATTCGATTTTGTCGTCATTTGCCCCCAAGAAACAGGCACGACAAGTGGTCGACCTGCCTACACCAACTGTGGAACCTGACGAAGCGTTATACGTCATGAGTTCTATTGGGTCCGCCCGAGTGAAACAGGGAGGTGGATCCTGTAGCGCTATTATATGGAGATTACCTAATTGGACCATAGTCAAGGCTGCCTCGAAGTTCCTCGTTACACCTACAGTGAATGAGGCCGAGTATGAGGGTATGATACTGTTTCGACCTGTTAGAGTCTTTAAAACGACGGCAATTGATCATCTGTGGAGATTCCAACTTATTGGTACGACAAATGCGAGGAGAGATCGAGTGTAAGGCTGCAGGATTGTCGCAATTACAAGCAAGAGCCTTAAATAAGCTGCCGTCATGGCTCACCCAAGGAACCGTGCACGTACAACGTGATTGGAATCAGAGCGCCGACCAATTGGCCAGCACAGCTCTGCATCAGAAGGGAGGTATGAAGTCGATACCGGAAGGGAAATGACCAAATTTGGAAAAGATTAATCGATTTCCAGAGTTACTATTGTCCAAGGACCAAAGTCCATCGGCCAAGGTGCTTGCGGTGACTCGATCTCGAGCTCCCATCAAGTGTCAGGAGGAATCCGGCAAGAGAGTGTGATACAACGACTCCGGACAGATCTAATCAGGGAGGTATAAGAGCAAGAGGGCTGGGTGCGAGATTTGAAGGCTTGCTTGAAGGGAGATTGGGTCGACCTATCCATGGAGACTGCTCACTCGTGCAGTAAGATGGCCAGGGACCACGAGATAAGTGAAGAGGGGCTACTATTGTATTGTCCCGTTTAGAGGGTCGAGGGAGACGACCAAAAGGTTTTGGCCTGATTAGTGATACCCGAAAGTCTCCAAGCTGACGTCCTGCATCACTACCACACCAGTCTGGAAGGAGGTCACCTAGGGGTTGGACGTACCTATTCACAAAATCCGACGGTATTGCCATTGGAGAGGTTTATTCCGAAGCGTTCAGAAGTATGTGGGGACATGCGTCGATTGCGATACTGAGAAAGGAGAACTACCCTACAGAGCAAGACCCCAGGAATTGTCAAAGCGACATACCCTTTCCAGATTATAGCGATGGATTATATTTCCTCTCTGCCCAGGTCGCATAGAGGAAACACCGAGTTACTAATTCGGGTCGACTTGTTCACGGGGTACGTGATGGCCAGGGATAGTTCGTCGCGAACGGCCCAGACGGTAGCTGAAGGGTACGAAGAATGCGTTTTTCGCCGTTTTGGTGCTAGCGAGACAATCTGCCACGATCGAGAGCCAGGGTTATGTCGGATTTCTTTCGGGCGTTAGTCGCATGGTGGGCCAACGTCAACAGGCAACCATGGCCTATCGACCTCAGGCGAATGGTACCGCGGAGAGGATGGCTCAGACCCTGAATAGGTACATCAAGATGTATGCCTCTGATGTGACAGACATCTTGATGGACCTAGTCTATGATAGACAGCAGGAATGAGACGAGTATGCAAAACGACTAACGTTTGCGATGAACACCGCAAGACCAAGTCCGGAAGGAGACACCGTTCAATCCGGTTCATGGTTGGGATGCTAGAACCACCTTTGAAATCTACATCACCTGTGGTAAATACGCGACGTCGAGGATCTGGGCCACGCAGATGGAGATATCACATTCGGCAATACTATCAGCGGGCAAGAGCCCAGGTGAACGAGAACTTACGAGCGGCCAGTCAAGATCGGATCCTAGCCCATAATGAAGGGGCGGTCGACCACAAGATTCAGCCGGGAACTCAAGTGTGGCTCTATCTGGACCGGGTGAAAGAGAGATACGCCAAGAAATTGGCCCACCGCTAGCATGGACCTTTTCGAGTTCTAGAGTTGGTGGAAGAGCACGCAGCACGCTTGGAAACTAGAAGTACGGAGTACAGGCTATTCCCTGTGGCGCATCCATCCAAACTCAAGAGGGTTAGAGAGTTCCCCGACCGACCGAGCGCCACGTTAGAGACGGACGGAATGGATCGGGTCGACTTCGATGAATGCCTGTTGCTGGAGTACAGTTGGGCAAGAGAACTGGAAGAAGAAGAGTACGAGGTCGAGGAGATCTTGAAAGCCCGCACTGGAAAGAAAACACGTTACGGGAGACAGCAACGAGAGCTCCTTGTCCGATGAAAAGGGCATGCAGTCCTCACATGGGTGGATGAAGTGAATTTTCATTGTGGAGCCTTACTTTGGGATTTCAAACGCAAGGAGACAAGGAGGAATCGTTTCGAAGCAATGCAAAATCATGAGGAGTAGAGGCCAAAGCCGAGGGCCCCGGACAGCTGACCGAAGTCTGTTGTGGGTAGATCTCGGCCCTTGGTAGTAGACCTTCCACGGGGTACTTACTAAGTCTACCGGCCTATTCTGGTAAGGGATGTATATTGGCCCCCGTCGAAGACAGTCGTGTGGTAAGACTTAAGTGCAAGTAGAGCCCCAGGATACATTTGGCCTGTGGGTTCGTCAGAGTAGCCCCCCCAACTCAACCCGCTATCGGAAGCGGTCTCCCTACCGTAGTGGTCCGGGAGAAAGTAAAGGTCAGGCGGTTAGCACCCCTGAGACATCAAGGAAGGAAAAGGCCAGGGTTAAGTATCCCCCCCTGAAGAATTTGGCTATAAGTCCACCCTCGACCTAGTCGACCGAGTGGCCGCCTATCCGCCTAAGGAGCTATATGAAGCTTCTTGAGACAAAGTTGCCATCTGTACGACAGACACTTAGTACGGATGCGGTTCCTTCCCAGCTATAAATTACCCATGTTGCCAGGTACAAGCCTTTCCAAGCAAAACCATACCGATTCCGCTGAGTATAAAGGAATAAGCAAAGGCCAGAATACTATACTTGGTCATCTATATTTCATTGAGTAGATTAACGGAAAACGGCAATTTTTTGTGCTCAACATAACGGATCATTCCAACTCCTGATTGATTTTGAGCGCTGTGCAAATGTGCCAAAGGTTATACTTTGTGCCACAAATAAGAATTTTTTTCTATACCTTACCAAGGCGGAATGCGTCACTACTGTATAACTAGTATTAGCTACTACGCCAGACGCTTGAATTCTCAAGGCTCACCACGAACCGCTTCTTTATGAAAGTACTAAACATCTCCTAATAAACATTTCTTATTAGCACCGGACAAATTTCTAGCGTGCTTGGATTTTTTACAGGCATATCTGAACGATCTTTTGGTGAATTCCGGTGATGGAAGAAAGCACCTGCACCATCTGCTTGCGGGGTTTGAGCGACTCACCAAGTACCATGTTACGCTAAACGGCAAATAGTACCAATTTCTACGCAATTAAGTGAGCTGTCTCGGCTAAACTTTGATATCTGAAGAGATTCTACCACAAGCAAAGAAAATTCAACCAATTCAACAAATCGCGGTACCAAGAATTGCAATGAACTACGTCGTTCGTGAACAGGATTAGCTATACCGTGGTATGGCGCCCAAAGAAACGACACCATGTCAATTACTGCATCGTTTGACGAGCGCAAAACATGCTTTTTCTAGATACCAAGCGACATAAAGCGCGTCAAGTAATCCAAAGAAAGTTTGCAAAAGCTTTGCTTCTTCCTTTTCTTGACTTTGGCAAGCCTTTCAGCTCTACGCTGACGCAAGTGGTACTCTGCTTGGTGGCATCATTTTGCAAACATGAAAATTTTGGCGTGATACTCTCGCGCGGTAAATAAGCCACCAAGTTAACTTCGCGGCCATGAAGCTGCTATCGATTGTCGAAATTTTGCGAGAATATCAAATGGTGCTTTTTGACTTTACCATTGGGGTTCATACAGGATTTATCTCACTGAAGCATTCTACGAAAGAAACATGGAAGTTGCGGCTTGCAGAATATCGGCTTGCGATGCATCTCTTAAAAATACGTCAGTAACATTAAGGCGGATGTATTCTTACGCATAAAGTTTGAGACCGCTCGCGGTGATACTGCTCTCGCCCATAAAGTGTATGCTACCAGTGATAGCTCATTCAGTGGGCGAATAGCTTCTACTCAGGGGCTCTGTGGACATTTAACAGGAAAGTATGGTGATCTGGGCCAAGGCACTTGGTCTTGTGAAGACCATCTAACTTCTGATGTTCAATATGCATTCAATCTGGAAAGATCATTCTTCTTGGTAAATTTGAGCATAATTGTGCTCTCTTGAATACCGTCAAGGTAGGCGTGTTATGGTTACTCGTCCTTGTTGCCCCCATTATGGAAGCTGATCGCATCAACAATGTGCTAACAGTTGAGTTCACATCAAATTTTGGTTGAATACCTTCGTGGATTTGGAATACTAAAGGAGGCGGTCATGTCGTGAACGGTGATGCATATAAACATGACATTGGTGTTTATTCTTCTGCACATGGAAGGAAGCTTGTAAACAATGGATTACCGGTTGTGTTACCTGTGTTACAACACAGTTATCGCTTGCGACCCTGCCTCTAAGAGTTAAATCAACTGATACTAAGCGTATGAACTGCTTGGCCTGCGCATAAGACAAGCCGACGAAGAGCGTACAGTCCGACAAAGATAGTGGGTTAAATTTGACCATCAGTGTGACCGGCAAAGTCACTTGTTTCGACCTAAATGGTCCCTTGACTCTCCGTGATCGCCTAGTGAGTAGGTATTTGATCAAATTTATCGTCAACTATTGCCAAGCGTCCCAAGCGAAGACAAACAATGTTGCCATTTACTAATTTTCGATCAAGCTCTATTACCACCCATCATACGATATTGGAAGCTATTGGCAGTCTAGCTTTTGGTTGCTATTGCAGATGCAGGACCATCCAACGTCACCGTGTCAACACGTTTACTCCTAACTGGGAACTAAAACTCTTCCTTGCCACGCAAAAGCTTACGACAACGAGGCTAAAGGTAGGTTTCCTAACAATGCTCATTCAAGCCGATACTTTTTTGGCGGCTTTGTGAATAGGTCTAAGTACCCTGTATGCAAAATTTGCCGCGGAACAAATTGAACCGAAAGGCGGCGTCAGGTTGCGTGCTGAAGATGGACGTGTAGTGATATCGTGAGCATGAATGAACACCGTACTTAAACATCCAGACAGCTTCAACCGATGCAATTAGATACACCTTGACCTCACGCGGCGTCTACAATCTGGACTCGCCTGCAGTCTTCCTCTCGATCAGCTTTTTTACTCACTGCTAAAAAACGAGTCTCTTGTGTGACGAAACGACAACAGATTTAACAGCTCGTATTATAAGTCCAAGGGACACAAATCTTGACACACTGAGTAAAATTGATGTCGCATGTACATATTGACGGACGACCATGTGCTTTGTTGCACAATGACACTGTTGATCGGGTCTAATTTATTGTATCCCACATTACATATCGCTCCTAAGTTACACTCTTCTATAATTACAAATCTCGTACGTTGATTTACTTTTATGTGCAATCCACCACGTCCATTCATACATTAACATGGCGCAAGTGCGTCAACGTCGCCAACCTCTGGCGGTACCAATAGTCTCCTCTCCTCTCCCTTCTTCTAAGGAGATTGAACATCATCACCGCTTTAATACGTCACTACCTCGTGGATGGCTCGTAGTTGTAGTATTTTTGACCTACTATGCCGTAACGTTTGCTATTGTACTCTATGGCCAAACGTGGTTACCAGAGGCTAAAGGAGTAGAGACACCTTTGGATGAATTCTCAGAAGGTAGAGCTCGTGTAATACTAGAAGAGATAATGAGCTTTGGATATCGTCCTGTTGGTACAAAAGCTAATGAAGAATTAACACCGAGGTATCTATTGCAACAAGTACGTCTTGAAATTGTCACACTCACCCACACACACTACATTCATACTACATAGGACGTTGTTTCTTAGGCTGTTCATGTGACTTTTGTTTGAACTTATGCACTAATAGTAAAACCGTATTGTAGATTGAAGCAATCAAGAGCATTCAATCCGACAATGTCAATGTCCAAGTTGATGTCCAACGACCATCGGGTGCCTTTGGACTTGATTTCATTGCACAATTTCAGAATATTTATGCCAACGTGACAAATATTCTAGTCAAAGTGTCGCCATCTGATGCAACGTTGGACGCGTTGAACAATTCGCTGATGCTTTCGTCTCACTATGATGCTGCAATTGGTGGAGCAGCGGCATCAGATGATGGTGTAAACATTGCAATTATGATGGAGTTACTACGGATGGTTGTATTGAATCCACCCAAGCATGCAACATTGATTTTTAATTTCAATGGAGCAGAAGAAACGATTATGCAAGCAGCACATGGATTTATTACACAACATTCATGGACAAATACCATTCGAGCATTTATTAACTTAGAAGCTGCTGGTGCTGGTGGTCGTGAATTGCTTTTTCAAACTGGTAGTGATGAATTAGCATTGGCTTATGCACAAGGAGCGAAATATCCACATGCAAGTATTATTGCACAAGAATTGTTTCAATCGGGTATTATTCCTGCTGATACAGACTATAGAGTGTATTGTGACTTTGGTTACGTTGCTGGAATGGACTTTGCCTATATTGCAAATGGTTATGTTTACCATACGATGCTAGACGATATCTCACGGATTCAACCTGGCTCAGTTCAGCGTCTTGGTGACAATATTGCTGGTGTGATACATCAATTGGGAAACGAACCTGGACGTTTGAAAAAGGTCGGAGACAATCCACAAAGCTCCAATACTTTTTTCTCGGATGTTATGGGACTTACAATGGTAACTGCAAGCAAAACGATAACGCTCACTATCTGTGGTGGCGTGCTTCTACTGGCAATGATCTATCTCTTGCTTTCTCAAGTTTCGTTCAATGAACGCTTCACTGCGTTTGTACTGACTATGAGATGCTTCGGTGCCGCAATCGCATCATCATTGATCGTTGCTGTGTTGCTTAGTCTGTATGCACCACTGCCTTGGTACTCCCAGCCTTACTTGGCTGGAGCTCTCTTCATTACTCCAGCACTTGCGGGAATGCTTCATCAGTTAGTGCGACTGCTGGAGAAAAAGGCATACAAGATGACACCTGGGGCTCTGTGGCGTTTGGAAGAAAGTCTTTTTGAAGCTAATACGTGCCTATGGATGGGAGGATTGACGATCTGCTTGCAACGTGGGCTTATCTCCAGCTACATTGTGGCAATGTGGATTTTCTTTCCGTTAGTTGGGCAGGTGCTGTGTCAGCTCCTGCAGCGCTCCCGCTTTTTCTCGTCGGGCATTTACATTTGTATCTCGCTGGGTGCCATGATCATCCCTGTGATTCACACGATGAGCTGCTTTGCCATTGCCTTGATATTTTTTATCCCTTTGCTCGGTCGAAGTGGTCCAGTCATTCCTCCCGATGTGGTGTTGTCACTATTGATGTGTGTCATTCTCCTGGTACGTTTGTTTTGTTCACTCGCTAGCAGTTTCCGGAATACTTATCATTATTGTTGCCGGATCTTTTGTCATTGATGCATAGATAATGGTTTCCTATTCGGGCCGAGTGTTTTGCTTTCTCTCCGTCAAGCAGCTCAAGTTGATTCGGAACATATGCATCATCACTACCGTAATAGTCACAGCTTACGCTTCAATTCGGTAAGTCTGCTTTCAGTGTGATACACTAGGGCAAAGTGTTGATAGATGGGTGGGTGGCTATGTTTAATATGCAGAAACCCGTACTCGGATATCTGTCCAAAACGTGTTGCGCTCCAGCACGTTCTGCGTCAAGTCATACTTCCCAACGGCGATGTTTACACTGACTCGGGTCTATGGGTCAATTCAATGGACTTTCGTGGACTTGATCCGATTAAGAGCAACTTGGCAAGCACGCAATGGAAGGATGCACGCATGCACGTAGCACCAGAAGAATTGCACGAAAATGCCGAAGTATACGGTCACATGCCATGGTCACTTCCAATGAAGCACATGCTTCCAGAACAGAAATCTTGGTATCTACTGACTGCTGCACCTGTCGTCCCAAAGGATGTGCTTTCCAAGTAAGAGTTGTTGTTGGTTCATGTATTAGAATGTCATTCATTCTTTGTATGTTGTGTTGTTTACAACAGGCTTGAAGTTCTCACGTCAGTGTATTCAAACAAGACAAATCGCCGTAAAATTCACTTTATCTTGAGTGGACCATCACATATGAATCTGTTCATTGATGCCAAGAAAACAAAACTCACTTCGTGGTGCGTATCGTGTGTTTGACTGACTACCAATGAGTCTACTAAAGGACTCGGTTTGTTCACCTCTCTCTCTCACGACCTTGTTGGTTATTTCTATACTACTTCATCATTTGTTTGAGCAGGTCTTGGGGAAACGGTAGCAGTGCACCAGCTGTGGAAGCTGAAGATGCATACATTCTTCAGTTTTGCAGTGGTACTGTGCCATCAAATTATCATTTTTGGATCGAAGCCGAGTCGAACAAACCAATTGATGTCGCTTTTGTGGGCCATTACCTTGAAGCCACTACACCCGAGATCAAGGAATTTTCTGATCCAATACCGTCTTGGGCTGTTATTACCTCTGCCGTATCAACATGGACAAAGTTGCAGATTTAACGATCTAGTTGAAGGGTCTTTCTTACATGCCAATTGCTGCAAGGTATAATATATATACATTTAACTAGTATTTACTGGTAGCTATTACACTTAGAAAAATGATTGAATAACAAACACGAGTGACTTTATGTCTCTCTCTGCACCTGGACCAGACAAAACCTAGTTAAATCATTAATGACCATTTTCAATTCGACTGCAGCATTTAAAGCGTGTGATTAATGAATGTGTCACTAATGATTACCCTCCATTGATCGTACGTGCAACAAATTACCACAAGTTTGTAGCAGAGCCAACGATACAAAGCTCTATGCATTTCGTGCAGAGAAAGAAAAGCTATAGGCTTACGTCATAGGGCTCTTAATTCTCTTAAGACTAGCTTTACAAGCTCGTGCTTATTTAATTGCAGCAACCACGTCACATTGAGACAACCACGTATCGTTGAGACGTGGCTGTTGCAACCAAATAAGGCACTCGCTTGAAAGATAGCTTTACGATTGCAATCTTGCGACATAAAGCTCCTAGAGCTTGTCTTCCTCTGCACAAAGTGCATTAGTGGCTATTATACACCTGGAAGCACTTGTAGTCAATCCCGCACTTGGGTCTGTGACTACTTCTCTGTGAGAACGGACATCGAAGAGAGGACGAAGGACCGAGCTCTACTGACAAAGGACCAGGGTCGACTTCCAGAGACCGGGGACGAGGGTTTACCGACGAAAGGACTATTGAGTAGTTGAAGGCAAAAGCCGAAGTAAATATATTAAAGGTCCTTAGTTCATTACTATGAGCTATCTCTAAGCCTTTATGTAGCGCTGTCTGAAACTCCCTGATGATTTATCTTAGAAATCATTCTAGCAACATGAAACGTACCTGTCAGCGGTGTAATATGAACAAGGACCGAGGTCTACCTTGCGGGAGCAAGGCCTATTAACGAAGAACTAAGATCAACCTTTAGGGACCGGGGTCGATGGTCCACCGACGAAGGACCGAGGTCAATCTTAAGGGACCGAGGTCTATTGACGAAGAACCAAGGTCAACTGGTCCTTAAGCTCCAATTATTAATACGCTTCACTACAGCCGCTTGAGCACGCGCATGTCTTTGACTCCTTCATCCCGTAAGTACATCTAGATTTTTTGGTGTTTGATATCAGTTATTCCCCTCTACCTTCAAACCTCATGTCACTTCCTTTTTTCGTCATATTAGAAACCAGGGTCAGCCTTGAAAAACCAAGGACTATCAATGATGGACCAGGGTCAGCCTTGAAAAACCAAGGACTATCAACGATGGACCAGGGTCAACATCGAAAGACTAAGATCTACCAATGATGGGCCAGGGTAAGCCTCCAAAGACCAAAGTCTACCATTGATGGATCAGGGTCAATCTCGAAAGACCAAAGGTCCAACTCAGCAGGTCAAGGTCTACTCTCCATCGACTCTGGTCGGCCATCCAAAGACCTCGGTTTCTGCAACTATTCCTCACGACTTTGCATCGCTTCGAAGCTCTTTCTCCTTATCCCTACGTTCAAAATCCCGCAATAAACACCAAAATTCAATTCCACTTCATCCACCCAGGAGGGGTCTGCATACCCTTTCCATCGAACGAGGAGCTCCCGTTGCTGTCTCCCATATCGCGTCTTCTTTCCACTGCGGGTTTCCAAGATCTCCTCGACCTCGTACCCACCCTCCTTCAGCTCTCTTACCCAGCTGTACTCTGGCGACAGGCATTCATCAAAGTCGTTATGATCTGTTTCGTCCATCTCCAGAATGGCACTTGTCTGGTCGGGGAACTCTTTACCCTCTTGAGCTTGGAAAATGTACCATCGAGAATGACCTGTACTCCGTGCCTCGCATTTCCAAACGTATCGAGTACTCACCCAACAATTCCAGAACTTGAAAGGTTCATGTTCAAGGTGGGACAACTTCTTGGCGTACCCTTCTTTCACGAGGTCCAGGTAAAGCCATACTTGGGTACCTGGCTGAGTTTTGACAGGACGCTCATTCACCTGGGCTCCTGATCGTTAATACTGTCACTGAATGTGGTATCTCCATCTCCGAGGTCCAAAATACCGGCTTCGAGTATTTAACACCAGTGATGTAGCTTCGCGGGTGGTTCTAGTATCCCAACCATGGACCAGATATAAAATTTGTGTCCTTCCACACTCGGTCTTCCCCGGTGTTCATCAAAAACTTGAAGCGTTCTGCATACTCATCCCAGTCACGCAGTCCGCTATCAGAGATATACATCTTGATGGCCTAATTAGAGTCTGAACTATCTTCTCCGCGGTACTGTTCGCATGAGGTCGATAGGCCGTGATCGCCTGCTGACGCTGGCCCACCATGCGACTAAACGTCCAAAAGAAATCCGACATAAACCCTCGTTCTTGATCGTGGCTGATTACTGCACTAGCACCAAAACGGCAAAAACGCATTCCTCGAACCCTTCAGCTATTGCCTGGGCCGTCCATGAAGAACTAGCCTTGGTCATCGCATCTCCCGTGAACAAGTTGACCCAAATCAGTAGCTTAGTATTTCCTTTGTGCGACTTGAGCAGAGAGGGAATATGGTCCATTGCTATAATCTGGAAAGAGTACGTCGCTTCGACATTACCAGGAACTTAACTTGTAGGGCCCTTCTTCCAGTCTCACACTCCACGCAGGTACCTACATACCTCTGTACACTTCAACATAGACCCCTCCAATGGAAGTACCGCCGAATTCAGTGGTAGGTACGTCCAACCCCTTGGTGACCGCCTTCCAAACTGGTGTGTAAATGATGTAGAATGTCAACCTGGAGACTAATGGGTATCACTAATCGGGCCATAACCCTAGGTTGTCTCCTTCGACCCTCTGAAAGGGACAATAAAATAGTAGCCCCTCTTTGCTCATCTCGTAATCCCTGGACATCTTACTGCAAGATAAGCGGACTATAGACAGGTCAAGCCAATCAACCTTCAAGTATGCTTTCAAATCTCGCACCCAGTCTTTTGTCTTGTGCCTTCCTGAATCGATCTTCACGGAGTCGTTGTATCGCGTCCTCTTGCATGATCTCCCCTGGAATTTTGATAGAGGGCCGTGATATAGTCACTGCGAACACCTTGACAAAAGAGTCCGGTCTTCGGAAAATACAAACTCTGGCAATCAATTGATCACTTCAAACCTGGCAAATCTTCCTTCTATATCGACCCGATCCCCTTCTTTTGGTGTAAGGCCGTGCTAGCTAGCTGGCCGGCACATCTGATTCCATCCACGTTTTACGTGCACGACTTCTTGGAAGGGCCACGAAAACAAACTTATTCAAATACCTTTATCGAAACGCAGACACCCTTATGTTTTACACTCGATCTCCCCGCATTTTTTTGTACCTCCAAGCTCGAGTTTCCACAGATGATTGATCACCGTCGTTCCAAGTGTTCCAAACATACCGCATATTCGGCCTCATTCACTGTAGATGTAACGAGGTATTTTGAGGCAGCCATGATTATAGTCCAACTGGGTAGTCTCCATAAGATAGCACTACAGTATCCACCTTCCTAATTTCACACGGACCGACCCATCAAAACTCATGACGTATCATTCTTCGTCGGGCTTTACGGTAGGCATAGGTAGGTCGACCACTTGTCGCACCTGTTCTTGAGACCAATTGGCGACAAAATCGAGTCCACACTTTCGCGGGGAGTAATGCTGGCTGCCAGCGGACCCAGTACTTGGTCTTCGCCCTTCTTGCACTCAACAATCATTATAGTCTACTAGGACAAGAGACCGACTTAAATTCCTAGACGTCTGTAACCCAGTAGACCTGACTAACCACGCCAATGTGGAATGTATCGTCAGAACCTTGAGAGGTCAAGTGACCAAATCGTAAAACAGGTTTCTATTATCCGTGATAAAGCCGGCCCTTCTTTCTCTACAATACTGTAGTCCAATTCGTTGGCCTTCAGGACCCGACTCGTAAAAGTCATTGGCATGAGAATGCCACCGTGATCTTGTACCAATGACACGTATATCACCCCTCCACTCACATAAACGAAAATTTATGTTTCCTTGGACGGGCCAAAGTGCTGTAGGATAGGTGCGGTAGCAGTTTTAATTTGGAGCGCAGAGAAATTTGGACTTGAACCACTTCTCCTTGCTTTCTGCCTTGCCACCGCACTGTCGCTAATCTTCAACTTTTACCGCCACGCGTGGAATTCCACCTCGCTCAACTCATAGAGTTTCAAAACGTACACCTTATAGTCTTTAATGAATTTACTGTAGTAGTTCGGACATCCGAGAAGCGATTGCTTGACCTAAAGTGTCGTTGGCAGCGGTAGGTATACACAGGATTGGAGGTCATTTGGGTTGGCCTCTAATCCTTGGCCTAAGACCGGTGACCGAGGTAGTCTACCTTCCGGTACCCCCACGAGCTTTCGACCGCGTGATGGACAATTCCTAATAGTTACAAATATCGCTCGAACTTTTTTACAACATATCTCACCGGTCAACCGGTATAAGAATGTCATCTACCCAGTACCGAGGAACCCGACTTTACATTCTCCACTTATCGCAAGGTACCTTGGTCAGAGGAAGCTAGCAATAGCAATCAGGGAAATTTACGTCGTTCGCGATCTTGCAAGTGTCGCTAGAGACGCTGGCATATCCGTCCGAGTCATTGGAAGACTCTTCAAAGAGGTCGACCCTGGATACTTTGGACGCGCGATCCGCAACGATGGAGGTGGGGACGTAAAAGAACTATAGAGTCCAACACGATCGAAGCGGACGATTACAGGTTCAGGTGAAATAACGGAGTCAGATCGACCATCAGGTCAATTAGGTAGACCATTAGTCCGACCCAATTAAGGATGATAAAAGACCAACGGTGGAAACTCCACAGTATGACATCTCATCCGGCACAGCACTGTTACTAAGGGTACTTGCTCCAGTGATGACCATGTCACCCCCGGTCGAAGACCAATCATGCCGACCAGGTAGAACATCAGGCCAATCAGACGGAGGACGGTGAAGAGTCGCTAGTAGAACCACCGCAATCGGATGACCAAGCGTGTACGTTCGAAAGTTGAGAGCTCTAGGCCGAAGATGTAAGCCAAGGGTGGGCGATTATACCGGAGGCGGACTTCATACCCAAGAGTATAAATTTGGAAGATATACAGATTCCTGCCGCAGACGGGAACGCCCCAGAAGAGGCAGACCGAATGTGACAGATCATATGGAGGAGATGAAACCTGTTGATATGGAATAATAACGCCTTACCACCGGCCGCTCGAGGGGACATTGATGTGAAAAATGCAAGGTTGATAGCACAGCGTGCACGGAAGTTGGCCTCTAAAGTCAGAGAGAAGTTGGCCGACCAGATCAAGGAACTGTTATCCTCGAAGATCATCCACCCTTTACCTTGCCATGGGCCAGCCCAGTTTTGAGTATAATGAAAAAGAATTTAATGAAAATCAGGCTGTGTATTGACCACTGGTTAGTAAATGACTTGACCTAGCTTATGGTTTACCCTATGCCTCTGATAAAAGAGTTATTGGAGAATCTGAACGAAGCATTGTGGTACTTTTCCCTTGACATTGCAAGTGGTTTTGGTTCGTCGATGTGACGAAAGGGCGAGAAGGATCTCAGCTTTTGTTACCCTGCTGAGATTGTTTAATGACTGCGGATGCCACTTGGACTCAAGAATGCGCTCCGATATATCAGAGGATGTTGGATAATGCTTTGTCTCTGTTTTTACGTATTTCTAAAAAAAGCTGTCACAGGAAAGGCCGAAGATTTGTTTGCGAAAGGGAGCCTCCCTGGGACCGCGATGGAGTCCCACGATCCTCTGACGATGTGATCTCGTAATCAGCTAGGCGTTTTAGCTCGATCAGTATTGCTGGTCTGAATTTAGATCTCTTCAATCTCCACTTCTCAAAATTCTATGGATATTCTTTACCGAATCAAGTTGGTGCACTTCGATCGCCCGCTAATTCCGGTAAGCGCCCCATCTGCTGAATTAGGCTACAATTTCCGCGCTTTTTAGCCATTAACGTGTAAAGTCCTGAACAAGCCGATCGCGCCGATCTCATTTCGAAAATTTTGGTTGGTTTAAGAAGCAGGTCACTCTGTGGGACGAGTTCTTCGATCATCGCTCGCAAGCCTTGTGGATTTACCCATGTATTACGAATTTCCACTGAGCAGCGGTGGCTTAATCCAAATCTGGCACAGTACTGTAACGAGAAAATACAACGTTGATTACGATCGGGACCTTGTTGAACACACATTCTTCGATTATCCTCCAAGGGATGATCGCAGGAAAATTAAAAAAATTCTGGACCCCTTCTTCTTGCACTTTCCTGGATCCATGACAAATCCAATATCGATCTTCTATCGCCGATAACCCTGGCTTCGCAATTTCGCGATTAGTTGAAAATTTCTTGAAGATGTAGCTTGATATCATATATCGGTCATGAATATACTCTGTTCCATCCTTTTCTATGTCTTTTTTATTAATGTCGATCGCGATCAGGTACAATTACCATAATAGCGAGCTTCTCGCTCACGATCTAGTACAATCACCCGTGATAGTCAAACTCAATACACAAATAACCCTTTCAACAGAAAATACAGCCTTCCTGTATATCTTCACGCCTCCTATCCATCCAATCATCAATTTTTCTCACCAATTTCTGCTTCATGCAATTGCACTACATCAAAATGGTTCGCTCTTGTGCGATGACGGTCAAAATTTTGCAACAATGTACCACAAATGAAATAAGCTTCTTCCACCCATGTCGGATCGTCATGACCTTCTAGTGCATTAGATATTCTCGCTGGACTCGACTGTAACGAGTCTTTCATTTAGATTGCACACCGAAAAGCTTATCCACTTTGAACTCGCCACTTTCCAGTTCACCTTCCCAACTGTTATGAAGCAACATTGCTTTGTCAAATCCACGCAATCCTCTTTTGCGATCGTCAGCATGTTCTTAGGCCGATCAAAAACATCTACACCAGTTTCTGCTTCGAAATGTGAACAACGGGAAATGTCCGATCCGGAATATCCATAATCTCCACACAATTCAGCAACTCAAAACGGTCCATGCCACATATACCTTTAATTGCTTCGCCAATCCTTCCTTACACGATCCACATATAACCAGAGATGGATCGATCCCGTGTGGCTCTTGACCCGTATTGTGCTGATTGGCTCGATCTATGATCGCTTTCTTCAATCGATCATTTACAGCAGCCTTAGCATGCTGGTTTCGACGCTGGATCCGGTATCTCCACCTCCGTGGCTCCCAATCGCGCGTTTTGGTACTTCCCAGGGGCAACGTTGCTTCCAGAGTATATCGTGGATCCCAAAG